CACTTCTGGCCTTGAAGTAAGATGCTGGCTGTATCCACCTCATTGTCTCCCAGGTGGAGGCGAATACACTTCCTGGGCTGACCAGAAAGGCAAAACTCCTCTTCTCTGTAGAGGGCTCTGGCAAGGAAGTGCTCTCAGGGGCACAGCTGAACATCCACAATGGACAGGCAGCTCAGATCTCTCAAGAATACATCTCAAGCCATCTGCAAACCATGTCAGAGCAAGGACTATAAACAGCCCACCTGCTCAAGCTCTTCCTTATTACAGCCACGAGGGACAGAAAAATGACAACTGTAAATTAAAAACATGACATCACTGTGAGATCTTAGAACTCTACCTAAAAGCCTCAATGTATAGATCTTGGTGTCTGTACATTGGGAAGACCTGATAAACCTCTAAAAGCATTTGGAGGCTGTAAAGAGCTTTGTCAGAATGACTAGAAGCCATCAAAGGGAAATTAAGTATTCATCCAAAGATTTTCTCTTAGGCATAATGAAAAAACCTCAAAACCTTAGTCTAACATGCATTAACAATTTCTACTATCAGGACCCTGCTAAAGAAGCTGGAAATTATATGGCATTTTCATGCCAGCAGAAGCTCTGAGGCAAATGCAGTTATATGCACAACCATACAAATGTCTCTGGTATACAATTAATTTTATTTGTGAGATAATTATCCAGGGATTGCTTCTTCAATACAGCTTAAACTTAAGCTACGTCTTAACAGCAAAAGTGTGGTTTTGTTCTTTCTTAAACTTTCTCTAAGTTAATGAAATCAGGTTTGTGTGACCACTGTTCCTTTTATTTTGGTCAGTCTCCTAATATAGGGAGAGGAACTTTTTACAAGGGCATGTAGTGACAGGACAAGGGGGATGGCTCTAAGTGGAAAGAGAGCAGATTTAGACTGGATATTAGGAAGAAATTCTTTACTGTAAAGGTGGTGAGACACTGGCAGAGGTTGCCCAGAAAAGTTGTGGATGTCCCATCCCTGGAAGTGTTCAAGGCCAGGCTCGATGGAGCTCTGAGCAACTTGGTCTAGTGGAAGGTGTCTCTGTCCATGGCAGGGGGGTTGGAACTAGATGATCTTTAAGGCTCCTTCCAACCCAAACCGTTCTGTGATTCTGTGATAAGATTTGGACCTGTTGGCCTGTTTCTCTGTAGATGTAGAAATTGAGATCCCCGAGATACCAAGTCTTTGCAAGTTTAGTCAGGTTGACAAGATACTGCTAACTTTGCACTACTGAAAACTTCCATCTCAGATTTAGAGACCAGAGGATTCATGTTAAAGACAGCCACAAAAAAAAAAAACCAAAAAACAGTAAGTCTTGCTGGGATGACAAAATACCATGCAAGAGCTGTGTCCCTGAAGAGTCCTAGAAGGACCAAGGTGATGAGAGAAGCCAGAAGAGTTTGAACACATCAAAGGCTGCACTAGCAATTACAAACCACTGCATGATAAAACCCATCATGTCCCATCCCCTCCAGGACTGAGCAGCAGAACCGCTCATGGGTGTTAGTTATCTAAAGGGGTGTGTTTGTTTTGTCAGCAAAGTCACAACTGGATGTCACACTACTGCATACTCTTGCCATACATTCTGGGATCCTTCCCAAGCTCCCGTTCCTCAAGTCATGTAAGGCAGGGTCATAGCAACACAAGGCAGTTTGCTCTTCCCTCAGAGATAACTCTCTCAGTTTTAGCCATCCTAATTTCAAAAAGCAAGCCACTTCTGGACTTATATCATACCTTCTGCATCTGAGGGGAAGAAGTAAAATCCCCCTTTGTATCTAGACAGGACACAAGTAAAAGCAAGTATGCAGAATAGGAAACAAGGAAGTTCTGAATGTCTTCCTAAATGCTTCCAGCCCTTGCCTAGGTATAACTCCATGCAGATATTGGCACCTATAAGATGCTAGAAACTTCCTTGTCAGACTACTAGGGGCACAGCAGGATGCAAAACTACTTGTTAGGGAAAGGAAACTCCACTGAATCCAGACAGCACATTTTCCTTGCTGCAGGAGACACACTACACTACTCCACAGGCATGGCTTTTAGGACATCAGTGGGATGACACTGTAGGAGCTGTGAAGTGTGCCAATGTTGGGAGGGAGAGAACTGGCAGAAAGAAGCAAGCAGATGTCTTTCTGCCATCCTGCTTGTCTAGAAGAAGGCAAAAACCTACTCTGATCTCCACCTAACAGCACGCTCCTTTACAATCAGAGCACCCTTGCCTTTATTCAATCTGAGATCCCTTTTAAACCAAGCCAATACAGAAGGGTGGCCACCAGGATCCCATGAAGGAAATTAGTGTGAGCGAAAGGAAAGAGAAAATACGATTCCTGGGCTATGGACCCAGAATTGCTCTGCTTTGCATCCAGCACATAGCACTGGTAAGCAAATAAGGACTCATCACCAAGATATATCATCATGCTGGTATTAGCCCAGAAAGAGAAACTGAGGCAGGCTAGAAGTAAACAGAGGTCACTACCAAAGGTGTGCAGCCAAGCAGTGCAGCCTTAGCCCTCACGGGTACATCTGCTAGAAAATGCAATTGTCTGCAGACAGGTAATGCAGAGCCTGAGCATGAACCCCACGCCCTGGAGCCTGTGTGTGTAAACCTGGGCTGCACGAAAGGCACTGACTGCTTTGCCCACAATTCGGTCACACAGGCTTCCTATTCCACACCGCAGAGCCAGCGGTTACCCTGCACTCATGTACAACATACATTGCAACAACATTTACTGCGTAAAAGTTACCTTTCTTCTGCTGTAACAAAGTAGACTTGTTTTTAATAGTCTATAAATGTTACATCTCTATCTCCTAATGAAAGCTTTCAGGCCTGGGAAACCTCACCATTTATTTCCTCATCAGGGGAAGGACGTCAGCTACTGTCACAAGACAGCCATTGGAACAACTCTGAAACCAGAAAGGGAACCAGCAAGGGAACTGAGAAGGCTTTTTGCCTGAAGGATGTCACAGCAGTCAGAGATCAAAGAGTCAGCCCATTTCCAGATTTATGAGTTGGGAACAGGTCTGTTAGCTCCCAGTACTCACTCTTTCCTCAGTATGTATTCAATATACACTGATAGTCGTCTTAATGGGAAGTCTGACACTGAAAACCACTACACTCCTGGATAGGCTGTCTCAGTTTTGTTCTCTTCTACCTCAGCATTAGATCCATGTGGTGGCAGTCCCAGAAGCACCCCAGATGGGATCCCCTCATCTCCCTCTTGCTCCATCTGGCAGTGTGCTCTCGCTTGCACAGCTGTCCCAGGGGCTGCTGGTAACCCACAGGTGGGATCCCAGTTCTGGATTAACCCCCTCCCCCCCCAGCTGCTGTTACTGTACAGTTAATTTAACTTGGATTAATTCCTTGATTGCATTGTGTGGACTGACACACAGCTTAGACACATGCTCAGCTAAAGGGAAGACATCAGGATGGGGGTAAACAGTGGGGTGTCTGTGGTGCCAGCAGCTCCTTAAGCCTGGGCTGTTCCTGAAAGAAAAACATATGCATGTGTGTGAAAAAACACATTTCCTCAAAAACCTGTTTTCTTTCTGGCAAACTTAATCAATCTTAACCAAATCCTTGAAACTAAAGTCAATGTTCCTATAAGGGCAAAGCAAGATTAAATCCTTCAGAAACCTAAAGGATGTCATATCTCTATTCTTCATTACTCAGAAAAGAAACTTCTGCTATGTTTTTAAGCAAATATAATTAGATGTAAAATCGGATAAAATATTCATCATGCAAATGCATTACGAAGTAATTTCCCTTTTGGTGCCACCTATGGCATCTTCTAAATCTGCACAGTCTGCAGAGGAATTTAACCCTTCTGTAATAAAAATGTAAAATAATGCTGTCTTTGCTTTCTGGATCACCACTCAACCGTGTCCTTTCTCACCACTATGCCCTCTCATTACTCCGCTAATTGAGAACACTGCACAAGTCTCATGTTTCTGATTTCTGTCTGTAGACTACAGGCCATGATTTTGGGAATAACCTAGAAACTTCTGAACTTCTGTAATGAAAGCACTTGGATTGCTGCATGTGCAAAAGCACAAATGTATTAGAGCTTTAGGAATAAAAGTTCCAAAAATGGCTTTTAACAATCAAACCACAATTTTCCTTACAAAGTCACTTTTTTTAGGAGACAGTCGTGTAGAGCAAAATGAGGGCAAACCGTTTTTTAAGTGCCTTGGTGTTGGTCAGAGTGAGTGGGCTGGGAAACAGCCACGGCAGAACTGTGTGATGAGCAGGAGTACACAGGCGTTAGCAAGTGGGTGGGAAAGGCGATGACACCCGCGGCTGCCTCTGCCTCTGCCTCGTCTGGCTCTGGCTCTCCGGGTGCATTTAACTCGCATCTTAAAAAGAAAGAGATGTTTTTGCAGCAGCAGGCACAGCAGGAGGCCATACACCGGCGCACAGCTGGCAGCAAAGCACTGCAAGCAGAGCAGCCGCAGCGACCGGAAGAGATAACTTCTGTTTGCTTTACGTCTCACACCATGCAAGATTCATCACTCGCCAAACCAGACAGCTGCTGGAGGACATCTACCTCCATACCAGTAGATGGAGGGAGTGAACTCCATAACCCTATCAGCCCAGATGTTTTATCAGAAATAACCCAGCCGGGGGACAGTCCTATGCGGGGTGCCACCCTCCCAACACCAAGTTGTTTTGCCCACAAAGGACAGATGCAAAGCTCCCTCTCCCCTCTCCCTTCTGCTGTCCATATTCCGCGCAGGGAGCCGAGGGCTGCCGGCCATCACCCACCCCGTCGGGCAGACCTAGGGGCTGCGGCGCCCGGCCACCGCCGAGTCCTCTGGGCTGAGTGAGGCAGAGGCCGCCCCAACCGGGCACCTCGCGGCCCCCAGCCCGGCGGGGCCCCAGCGCTCACCTTCCCGGCGGGGCAGTGCCGCCCCCTCGAACCCCCGCCCCCGCCGAGCCCCCTTCCCCGGCTATAAAGGGCGGGGCACGGTCTGGACCCCTGTTCGCCGCTGCCATGGCCGCGCTGCGCTTCGGGGGGTCCCCGGCGGAGCCGCCCGCCTTCCCCGCGGGCAGGTGGGCGGGGGGCGGCGGGCCCGGCCCGGCCTCGCCCGCCCTCAGGGCGCTTCCCTCGGCCGAGCCGTCGGAGGGGGCGCCGGCGGCCTCGCAGCGTCGGAAGCGGACGAGCTTCACGGCGGCGCAGCTGGAGACGCTGGAGCTGGTTTTCCAGGACACCATGTACCCGGACATCTATCTGCGGGAGAAGCTGGCGGACGCCACCCAGATCCCCGAGTCCCGCATCCAGGTGAGGGGCGTCGGCCGCGCCGCGCCCGCCGCGCCGGGGCCGCCCCGCCGCCCTCACCGCCGCCCTCTCTCCTCAGGTGTGGTTCCAGAACCGCCGCGCCAAGTCCCGCCGCCAGCGGGGCCCGCCCCGCCCCGGCCCCGCCGCGCCGCCGCCGCTCTGCCCGCGGCCGCCCCACTTCGCCGCCCTGCGCGCCCCGGAGCGGCCCCGCCGCGCCCTCCCCGGGGCGGCCCGGGCGGAGGACGGCTCGGCCCCTTACGAGTGGCCGCCGGCCGCCGCCTTCCCTCCCTGCCCTGGCTTCGAGGGCTTCCCGCCCGGCCAGCCCGAACCCGCCCCGTTCGCGGGGAGCGCCGCCGGACCCTTCGCGCCGGCCCGCGCCTTCTGCGGGCAGTACTCGCCCGTGTCGGACGCCGAGGACACCAGCGGCTACTCGGAGTCGGGCTCGGAGTGGGAGGAGAACGCGCTCAGCGCCTTCCGCGCCCTCTGAGCGCCGCCCCGGCGGGACGCGGCCCGGCCTGGGCAGAGGGTTAAACCCGCAGCACAACCCGCCAAACCCCGTCCCGGGGTGCGCTGCTCGGGCGGGGAGCAGCCACACAGCGCGCTACCTCACCCCAGCTGCTCTGCCACTGTTGCACTTTATCCGGTAGTAACTGATTTTACCTATTTATTTAAGAAAGATACGGGTCGGCTCCATCAGCTGAGGACATCTTTTTACCCTGTACTTAAAGCTTTCTGATAGCGTGTTTTGTATTTCTATTTAACCTTCTTTAGCCAAAAAGCTAACCAGATCCACTGTGTTTTGGGGGTGGGGACTGGTTTTAGAAAAGAGTGGGATGGTCTGTCGGGGTTTTTTGAAAAAAAAATAAAGGTTTACATTTTTGCTCCGCTTGTGTGTGTTTTAGCAGGGTGTCTTACCTTGGCTGACATGAGGTAGGAAAGTGGTAGATATCCCAGCTACAAGTTCTCTTCCCAGGTCCTGGAGGAGCCACAGCTGCAGTTCAGCTGCCAATGAGAGACCTAAGGGGCCTGAAGGATGGGTTAGAGAAATGGCCTTAAACCTTCTCTGTCAGTATTTGTCTCAAATCTGCTCCAAACGAACACCCCCATCCCTGAACTAAAATGCAAATTTATGGACTAAGTAGTATGAAACTCCAAATCTCAAGTGCTCAGACAAAAGCGTCCAGTCTGCCACTTGAGCCAATTGTCAGTGTTAAACTACAGAAAAGTAGGACTATTTTGTGGACACTGTAAAGGTGCTTCAGCTTTGAATTCTAGTGACTCCACAGAAGCTGTTCAATGATGAGTTGTGGGCTGAATGGCTCTGCACTGAGAATGCCAAAATTAGTAGTAACAGAAGCCTCTCCTGTAATTCAATTTATTGAGGAAGGATAAATTACTGCATATGTGTTCTGAGGATAAGGCCAAACTACAAAGTGGTATGTCAGAGCCTACCAGAGCGAGCTGTAAGACTAGAGTTAGGGGAGAGCACCTGAACGCCATGAGGTTCAGAAGCACAGGAAACATTACCCATGTACTGGTGGCAGAAATATCCTATGTCAGGAATCACACTCCTGCTAGAATAAGGCTACCAATGCACAAAATTCCTCAGTGCCACCCCATAACATACCTGTGCTTGTGAGATCTGGGACAGCTGAACCCTGGCTGGACTGCAAGCTTGTAAGTGAAGTGGCATAGCAGGATTGCTGATTAATATTCTCCCTCCAAAAAACACAGCTGCCCTTGAAAAAACATGAAGCAAAAACCAACCAACCTCAGGACAGCACCTGTCTCCCAAGTGGACTTGGGTGCAAAAGGAGCTGCTATGTTGAGGGTCAGGAAGACCCCTGAAGAGAAGCCCTCACAAAAAATGAGACCATCATTTCTTGGAGGCTCACGGTAAATTCAAGTTTACTGATTTTAAGAAACGAAAGTAACTTGTTCTGCTCCTGCAGACTTCAGTTACAGTAGCTGCAGTGAGTTCTTGAGACTCCTGCTATGCTTAGGGCACATTCAGCAACAACAGTCATATTTGTTACTGTCACCAAAATTCAACATTATCTCTAACCCAACATATAAGTACCCAAGGAGAAATGCAGCCTCTCAAAGAAAAGATGTGTATATTCACATTGCCAGCAGCAATAGATAAATGACATGTGAAAGTACACAGATATGCGTGTTACAAATGGTGTATCTTCCTATTACCCTGCAATAATTAAAGAAAGGATAGCGGGTTTTATGAGCACCAGAAGACAAGGACAGGGGTGCAAGGGGATGGTTCCTTTTTCCCGAGTTAGCTGTAGATCAGATTAGTTCCTGTCTACTAAACCTATGTACCTTAAGTTAGGCTGTGGCACCTTTCTCTGTTTATTAAATGAAAAGGGTGGTGGGAAAGGACACATTTCTGTCTTCTTTACCAAACAGATGGTAACATCACAAAATAATGGGTAACATAATTACAGAAGCAATTGCAGGGACCACCATAATGTTCTGTTGCATTATAAGAGGTAAGTTTCCATGGGTAATTCAGCTAAATTACTGTTTAGCATTATTTTGTAATACTTCTTGTAAAGTTTCTAAGTACCTTTTAGAACAGCTACTCACCTCGTCCTCATAACATTTCTTTTTTCAGCAATTAACTTCTCTTAAAAAAAATGACCTGAGACCATCTGCAAAAAAGTTTGCATTTTTGTGAAATATATCAACTCTCATAGCTCAATTTATTCAGTTACAAATTTCATTGAGAATAAAAGATTTATGCATTTCTCTTAATTAACAGAACAAGTTTAGCTAAATATAAACTCTGCACTAAAGTTTTGCAGTGGCACAATACCAACACAGAATACAGAAGCATCTTTAAACTATACAAAATTTTTAAATTGAAAATAATCCTGTTTACATATTCTTTATACATTAACATATAAAAGACCTTATTTAATGAGGCATCTAAAAGAATCAAAAACATCTCTACAGCTATCTCTGAAAATTCAAATCTGGAAACAATTCATTACACAGAAGCTTTACAAGACTATTTAAACAAACCAATACACACTTTTTACAAGATTAACATTCCAAAAGGTTAATTCCAATTCCTAGGCAGGTTGTCACTTTTTATTTTTGTAGTTTACCTCACTGGTTATATTTCATTATAAAAATTTTCATATTTATATATGTTGTGTACTGTTGAATAACCAGTAATCTAATTTAAAAGTTGTGCAAAACAAACAAAAATTTGGAAAAACAATATGTTTAACCAGTCATTTATATAAAATACCAACCAGAGCACTTCTTTTGCCCTGTGTGGAGGGAACTTTCTTTCTGGAAAGTTACCAGTTACATTTTTATATTCCTTCATTAGACTCCTTCTATAAGTTACGATAAATTAAGAGCTCCAACAAGACATTGACTGATTGACAGACCTGCCCAACATCCTCATGTTTACAGCTTATGTTTGCTGCCTGTATCCTGCTGCTGCTTTCTTAGATCAGGGACGGTGCTGGCAGTTCTCAAGACCTACACAGAAGTGTAGCTTTACACAACAAAGACCTGCCATGTGGCTACTAAACTGAACCATTTCCTCTTTGTCACTTCTAACATACCAGGAGACCCAACAGCAAGAGGTGCACAGAATTAATCTGAACTTTCAAAAACTAAGTTCAAATTATATGAAAGTATGTTTTCAAGTTTACTATAATAAATGCAATTACTAAGAGATTACCAGTTAGCAAAACTACTGCATGTGAATAACAAATGGAGAAATCTAATGTAACGCTGGCCAGTAATGCTGGTTTTCTTAAGAAGCGGATATAATAGATTCAAAAGGGTCCTTTCTGAGAGGTTTTCTTTTCCCTTATCTTCTGGCAGTTAGGATATTTGGTGAAGCCTATAGAAAGGAAGGTTTTCCAGAACTACTTGCTGTACACTTGGGAGGAAGTTTTCAGTCTCTGTTGGTGTTATTAGCTGCAAAAGCATGTAAATTTCCCATCTGGCTCAGACCACTCTGAATATGTGCAACATGGATCTCAACGTTATTCTGAAAACAACTATGGGAAGAAAAGAAGAAGGAAATGAATAAAAGTGTTTAACCCCATATTTAAGAGTTGTGTCTGAATATTTTTACAGTGAAAATCAAGATGTGAACACAGCCAGTATAAAAATTCAGATGAATTGGAGAGCGGTAGAAACAAATGCAACCTGACAGAGAAATACGTGAAAACAGCATTTGCACAAACCGCTGCATGAAATCAAGAGTTACTGACTTGGGTACTTTAAATAAGGCTTTAACACGACCAGAGTTAGTGAAATCAAAATATTATGAAGACATGCTAAAATGCCCAAAATAAGTACAATGAAATGGAAACATCACATTCTTCGCTGGGTACACCAACCTTTAGTTGAATCCATTCTAATGTGTAATTTGCAGTGTTGATCGTAGAGAAGTTTCACTAATGCTTGGGGTTTTTGTTTTTACTAATGAAAGATGCTATAAAATAGCATTTCTCAATAATTGTTTTGAAATAAAAGGCTATCCTACTATCTTTGGGAAAAAAAAATTAAAAATTTAAAGACTCGTGTGCAGCCTCCTGTTTAAATGCAGCAATACAAGTAATAAGAGTATAAGAAAATACTTAGCATTTAGGTATATTTTCTAAATGATGTAATTTAGCAGCATCTTAATTATTTAAAAAATGCTGGTCACAAATTGCTGGAGGCTGCAGTGTACTCCAGACAAGTATCACCACATTCTAGCTATTTTTATAATGCCTCCTCCGGCACCTGCTTGTGACAACTGCTGAAAAATGGCTCATCAAGACTAGATGGGCCTTTGATCTGGCACAATATTGCTGTTCTTCTGTTTCTTGGCTTAAAATCTTGCTAATGGAAGCTGGTCTGATGTGCCAGCTTTTTGTATTTACGGACAAGAGGTTGAGTATGCTAAAAGAACACTGAAGTAGTACTGTTCTGTAGTTTAAAGAATTTGCAAGTGGGATTTCAAAATCTGAAAATATTCTAAAATGACTAAAGAACAAGAAAGTCTAGTGTTGCTGCACCAATTCAGCGCTTTTTAATTTTTTTTTTAACAGGTTACTTCACTGATAGGTTCAAACAGAAAACTGCTCATTTCACATATCCTGTAAGAAGCCCCTTTTTAGATGGTACCCTTCCTGTTAAGCAGAAGTTACCAGATTACACCTCCGAATTTTAATCAAATGTTCATCTCTAAAATACAGTAAGAACTGCCTGCTGGCACAAAATGGGTAATTAAAAAATATTCGAAAAGTAATACCTGATATTTGAGGAGTCTATTGAATTCTTAATGTCATTTAATGAATCTGTTAGTGATTTAAATTCAAAGGAATTCAGATCACCTCCTTCTGCTAGACACTGTAGGAGAAGAAAACAAAAATGTTCTCACAGTTCAGCACAAAGAAACTGGCAGAGCTTTAATACTATGTATTTTATGGGAGATGCTATTTTTTTGCAAACACTGTACCTTGATTTGCAGTAATATTGCTGTAAGCCTAGAGATAAGATCAGTCAAATTTTCACTCTCAACACAAAGTTGTCCTGTCGATGAGGTATTTGCTTGCCTAACGACCTCCTGAGCTTCCTCTTCACACCTACGCCTCAGATCCGTGGGTTGGTCAGCAGGCTGGAGGCCCTGGTCAGGAGCAAGCTGCATAGATATAACAGAGAGAAATTAAGAATAAAAAATAAAGAATTAAAATGTCCTTTGCATTTGGTGGATGTGTGAAATGAAATTATTTCAAAGAAAGTTCACAGGTTTATAATATGCAGTATTTTTTCTTCATGTATGTCTATTTAAAAACAGGCCACTGGTATCAGCAAAAGTGTCTGTTGCTCAGACAAAGGCAGAGACAGAGAAGGAATCCAACACAGCTACTAACAGTTTCATTTCAAAGTGACCCCCACCTATGCCCTATTCCCAAGGAATTCTGTTTTCTACATAGATTAAGCAAAACCAACAAGTACGTACAGATTCCAGCAAAATCTTACCTCATAACAATACTGTTGAACTTTATGCAAAACTTTATTTAAGTCTTTGTTGAGTTGTTCTAGATCTAGAACAATAGTTGCATATCTCCTCTGAAACTCAATGCTTATTGGCATGGAATAGGATTTCTGTGGAAAACACAAAGCACATTAAAGTTAATGCAGTACTGAACATTTATAAATTTGGAACTCATCAAAAGGAACTTTCACTGGAAAATAATACTGAGATATTTGAAATCCCAGCGTTTAATAAAAAAAAGTTAACATACAAAATATTAAAATGCAGTATTACTATTTATAATTCCAAGTGACAAGTGTGTAGGTAACAACCAGGCTTTTATTCTCTTCTTAAAAGTACTACCATAATCTATGGTGGTAAATGCTACAGAAGATGACAGTGGTCTGACCTGCTTATTCTCCAATAGCTGGGCATGGCTTCTCTCTACTGGTTCAGCAGAAAACTATCCTGTCAGCCTGTCAGCAAGGGAACAGTATAGGACAATATGGCCTCGACCACCTCTGCTGCAGGATGGGAGGCACATTTGGCTAGTAAGTTAGTGGTCACTTGAGGATGACTCAGTGCTACACACCTTCTGTTACAGCTAACAGTTCTGCCAAAAAAGAGAGTTACTAGAGCTTATATTTGTTAATGTAAGTATTTTGTAAGCACAATTTCCACAAAAAGAATAAATACCAGAACACAGTACTTTTTTTCTTATACTCTTTTCAGAATATAGCTTGACATTGTTGGAGTGATATTTACGAAATTGAAATAAAACATACAATGTATTATAAAAGTTCCTCCAAAAAATACCTTTTGCAACATAAGATGGATGTACTTCTCCTTCTAGCCACTAGTCTGAGATACAGGTATCTCGTACAATCAGACCTGTAGCTATAGATTTTACAGCACAAGATAAACCAAATTGCAAAGCCAAGAGCCTTCATCAGGAGGATCCTTGTCAAAAACTCAAAATCAAGGTTTCAGTTATCAGTTCAGTTCAAAGTTAAACAATCACTGAAACAATCTTAAGGGATTTACAAGTCTGAATACCAAATTAACAGGGCTTTAAACTAACACCATAATTTCAGAATTCACTGGAAACTAGCATAAATTTGACACACTTCCTACAGCTCTGGAACACAGGAAAAAAATTGTAACTTTCAGACCTTCTCCAATGATCAGCTTCCCAAGAGCAGACTAGACTACTCCAGGTTAACCGTGAAAGCTGCAGACAATTGTGGATTCCCTATCAGGAAAGGTTAAGGGCATTCTACGGTAGTGATGGTGAAAGGAATATTTCTCAGCACCAGCACTGTTTCTGATCCAAGACCTGGAAACAGGGACAAACAGCTGAACCGTTAGAAAAAAGATGGATTGGCTTTCAGTGGATGGAAACAAGTAACACCTCTGTCTGTCACATCTAGATGCTTCTCTGAAACAACCAGCATTACCTCTACCTTGCCTTTATTGCAGATCAAGTGAAAAAATGAACTGTCCATCCTTTTATTTGTATTTGTTTATCCAAATGTTTACTGTTTTATGTACATGGTAATTTGTTTATAGCCTGCAACCCTGACTTGTATAGTGATGTCAAAAAAATGAAATAGAAAATGTGCAGTTTTATGCATTAATAGCTCCTCTGAAGGCATCTCATGAGTTGTGTAGATTTATTATTATTGCCAAATAATAATGGACTACATTCAGTATCTGTTCTAATTGTGGTCATTTCCATTTATTTCTATATTGAATCAGTCATTAAAAAAAAAAAGTCTTAATAAAAGGATTACTTTAAACCAAACAGTGGTTTTACTCTAACAATTATCAAATCACAACTGTATGAATTATTATCTAAGTCTGACAAAGTGTACACCTGAATGAACTCAAAGGATTTGATTTTATTCACTTTTGGGTATGCTATTGATGTTGAAATGTATTTGGGCTAGAAAAAGATTCTTGTTCAAAGGAAATATATTTTAAAGGAGAAACAACACATATACAGTGGCACAAATGTAGATGGGATTGCCAAGGGACAAAGAGGATTAGAAGACAGACTAAGAATATGGCCCAATAGGAAGGTATCACATCCTCTATTTTTATCAGTGCAGCCTTGAATAGTAACAGAGGTTGTTTTATGATTGCTGGTTTACAAAGGAAATAGAGCAGGGAAGAATTTCAAAAGTATCTCTAAGTCCTTATCCAGGCTACAAGTGACCTAAAATATATCAAATTTAACGTTTATTTCTAGATTCCTTTCTTCCCCATTGCTCTTTTTTGCGCTTTCAATTTTGTGGAATAAGAAGACCAAGAAAAATAACAATACAGTTAATTTATGATTTAGTAGCTGAAAGATGCGTTAACGTCTGGGTTCTTGTCAAGAGGAAGGCTACTGTCATTCCTATGACTTCCTTATCTATGCAAAAGTACCAATATCTAAGAAAAAACAAGAATTTTTTTATTTTAAGAAGAGCTGGTAATTTTTTCATTATCACAGTTACAGGTTGCAATGGTATGTTTTAATCTACTTCTCTTTGCATCTCCTTTAGTTACTAACACACAAAATTACAATACAAAACATTTGATGCACAAGAACAATAATGTAGTAACTGAAATGACAACAAGGTTCTGAAGGGCTTCATCACAGCACAAAACAAGATAATTACAGGGACATGGGGATGGGGCAATAGGAAGCAGAGTAACAGAATGCACACATGCATATGATCGTTGAAGAGGCAGAATCAGAAATCTTACCGCAATAAATCAAAACCTTCAACATTCAAATATTTTACATGAAAAAAGAAGTCAGCGTTTTGGTTTCAAGAAATAAAAGGGACTCCTCCTTCCTCTCCACAAACCTTTAGCCTTCTGTCTATACACTGCAGAGACAACAGCCTGAATGGGCACTGGCAGAAGGTTGAGACTGATATCTTTCTGCTTTCAAGTTGATTTATAGCCATGGGTGGTAGACGAGGCATTCTTATCATTTTGATTTACTGACTGCTGATTAGATAAAGTTAGCAAGAAAAACTATTCTGCTGCTGCTGCTAATTATGCTGTAGCTGCTCTGGTACTGTAATTTTAAATGCTGGTCAAGGGCACTCAGAGCTTTACATAGAAAATCTCTGAAATGAGTAATTGTTTTAGTCAGAAAGCTAAGAAAATAAGAATCTAACATCCGCAAAGTAATATTATGATGAATGTCTTACCAGATAAACTTGTACCCCACGTTCTCAAAGTACATAGTATTTCCTTATTTTATGTGTCAACTGACAAGTGCTATCCTGATATTAACATTAATCAGTTTCCAAACGCTTTCAAAGGAGAATCATATTTCAAACTACTGACCTCTCTGACTTGTCTTTAAAAAAATAAGAAAAAAATTTCATGTTATAGGAAGCAATCAAATACAGATTTTATTTAGACTCTACTTCTAATTGTATCTATTTGCATCAGCTGTTAAAGCATATCCTGTTTTAAGAATTGAAAAGAGAACATTCTCACCAGCTTTTCTGCTTCTGTATTCATCTCTCTCAATTGTTTGATGTGTTCCTTCTTGATCATAAGGATTTTCGATAACCTGGTCTAAAACAAAGGAACTATTTTTAGAATGAATAGGTCCTTAAGCAGTTTCGAAATGCCATAGAAATTAAAGATAAAAAACCATATGTGTTTCTTTCATAATTTAAAATTTATTTCTCAGTTGCTCATCAAGTTAAGATGCAGAAATTAAAATTAATCAGAATTAAATGATGGATTTTCTAGATATATTTAAAGCATTTCCAAGTGCCATAAATTGATGAGTTCGAAAATCCGTCAGCTGAAATTCCCTGTAGGAAGGCTAATATAATTTATGGCCAGCAAGAGGCTAAAGAACCTTCTTTTTTTGGTGGGTTTTTTTCAGCCTGAAGGAGAGCAAAGGGTGTTATGGTCATGTACTACAATTAATATCACTTACCTTATCACACCTTTTTTCACACAGTTCTCAGCCTGTTCTCAGCTGTGCCCTCTACTGAACACCAGCCCTTTGTGTAAACTCTTGCAGTAAAACCTGGTATAGGGATTGGGTCTGCCTTATACAGAACAATTCTGGCTTTCCATTTCCCTTTTTCATAATGGGAATACCCTGTTTCCCCTGCCCTTGGGACCTAGTAGGCTGCAGTGGAAATCACTGGGAGGGTTCTCAAACACACACATCACTCCTAGAACTATTTATACTTGAGGGCCCTGAGAGAAATCCTCACTCCACTACAACCAGCAACAGTTTTATTACTGACGTAAACAGAGCCAAGATTTCAGGTTTCATAAACTCCAAAGGGGTTAAACTGCATCCTAGTAGTAAAACACGTGACTGAGAGAAATAGGAACCTCTAGTTCAACATATATCTGACTCACGTATAATCCCTTTCCTTGATTTTCAAGTTCAGTCTTAACACAGTCAGGTTGCTTGCCCTCACAAATTGTAATAGAAAATTTTTCCAGGATCTCTTCCAGCTGTTGAGGAATATTCTGGGAATTTCTATGCTAAATGCATTCTTTTTCACTTCATAGCAATTTGTTCCAAATTGCCAAACAGCTAAATATAGCTCTCCCTCCTTATATTTATCCCTGTTCATTCAGAGACAACAAAAGCATCTCTTTTCCACCGTTCTTTCACTATACTAATCACAATACAATCCCTTCCAGACTCCACTCCCATACAAAGTTCTTCATCTCCTAAATTTTTGTGGCCCTTTCTGTATATTTTTATCCATTCACTGTTATCTTTCCTGGCTGTGAGCACAGGAAGTCTGTACCAGTATTCTAAATGACACACCTGTAAACTAAATCTGTAAAATGGCATCAATACTTCTCTCTTTCTACCACAAATATTTTGCCAGATGCATGTGATGAACTGATGACGTGCCATGGTCAGAGTCACAGGCAGTACTGCATTGGTTGTCACCCTCCCTATTATAGCTGCTCATTTCTGTCCTTGTGCTGTCCCCCAATGTCTGTGCTGAGCCAACACCTGCGTTTTTTGCACTTTGAATTTTGCATGAAGAACCCAATCACGGAACCGATAATGACAAACCAATAAATTTAAAAAGGCAAGAAAGGTTTAAAGTTGTTACTTGTGAGATAGATTATCTCTCTGAAAACGCTTCTAACACACCACACAAGTGCTCACGTTGCCAATAAAACACCTGGGAGGAAGGAAAGCACTGTTCACCATCTGCCACTACTGCCAAAAGTTACTTGTCAAGCTTTGCTCTTGTCACCATCCAGCAACTGCCTAGCAAGTTTTCTCCTTCATGAAGTTGTTGAGTTCCCAAATTAAGCAGAATATATTATTTGCTCCCCAAATTTGCAAGGCATTCACTTCTATGCTTTACTTCTACTTTGAGGTCCAGACATACTCGAGGATGCATAGCCCCAGTTGTCCAGCTGATGAGCTTGGATTTCATATTACATTCATCCTATTCCCAGATACACTCCAGATATATAATCAAGACAATCTGATTCTTTCTACAAGAAACTCTGACCTTTCACTGTATCTATCATATCCACCAACTTTCTCTCAGAGGTACATTTTATTAATTAGACTTCCATTTTCATTTGCCAGTGTCATCTGTGAATGCTTTCAATCTATCTCTATTTTCCTTGAAAAATTCTTCTGTAACAGCTCTATTTTCAGCAAAACTCATCCTGTTTATTCTTGTAAGTAAAGAGTATTTTATTTACTCATTAAACCAAAAACAAGTTTTTAGTACAATGCTTTTCCACATTAAGAAAGATGAAGGAATAATCCTACCAGTATGTTTAGATTTGTACTTAAGATTTCATTTTTTAGTCAGAAAATACAAGCATTTCAAAATGAAGTGCATGATAACTTACTATGCAATATTTTCAAAATTTTCATCAGCAGAAAACAGTCAAAAGTCCAGTATCAATTTTTAGGCCGTTCCTCCTGCATTTAAGCTGGGAAGATCCCTCCTTTCCCCACAGTGATCAGGCAGACACCAGGTCACTGTTCTGCCCGTGCTGCATTAAAACACTCCCTCTACTGGACACGCATCGACCCGCTGAACATTTGCTTTGTCCTAGAGTGCTTCCTTTCAAATCGAATTTTTTACCCCAAAACAAAAAAACGAAGGAGGCAAGAAGAGGAGAAACATTCCCAAAACCAAAACAACCCTCCAGCTGAGCGCTTGGAAAAACATCCTCCAAATTTGTTGGCTAGAATGTAAGAATGTAATCTATTGATTTTGACCTGCTCATATAGCTTATGAAATATTTAAGGATACATTATATATTGAACTAAGCATGAAAGACTTCTTTTAAAATTTATTACTCATTTATTGTTGACTTTATTCTTAATATCATAATGTTAATTTTTGAGCCAATTTTCTCCTAACACACGTCTGTCCACAGTAAAACCCAGAAACTCAGTCTCTGATATCAAACTGTAAACATGTAGGAATTAATAAAAAGATTTAGAAAGAACAATGATTAAAATAGTTGTTACAAGTCCCAATATTTGCTTACAACTGCGAGTTATATGTAAAGAGAATATCCCTAACGTTTATTTGTAAGTGTCTGCACATGATTTTGGATACACTTGCTTTTCTTTCAAATTAATTTCAAAATCTGTAAAAGGGAACTAGGGGGCTGAGTTGAAATCTTATTAAAGGTGTGCTGCATTTTTTCTGTTTTGTCCAAAATTTTTCCCATAAAATTGTTTCTTCATGGTCTCATAAATAACTGCCTGGCAGTAGTTCTCCAGTAGTTCTTCAAATCAAACATTTTCTGATCATTTACTTCCTGACTCACCATTAAATCAGAAAAAGGGCTTTAACTTCTTTTAGGTATCACTCTATAAGAAAGGCTAGAACATCCTGAGCAGTAGCCTTTAACATAAAAATACATCTGGTCTCATGAATGCAGTGCAATCAATAATCAATATTCACCAGTCTCATGTATTTCACAACATCAAATCCCAGTACCTCCTCAAACTTCTAATAAAAAAAATTGATGCTTAAAAATGATGCTTCAAGTCCTTCCATAAATGTTTAAGCCTCGGGATTCTTTGTCAAAAAGGTGCATAAAGTCTCAAGTTGCTCACATAAACAAATGCCAAAAACCCGTGGATTGATTTTGTTCAAAATATTTTGAAAATCTTCAAGCAAAAATACATATTAATGTGGCATCTTTGTAAAATGTCACCATTTTTAATACAATCAAGAGGTCTATACTTGTAAAACTCAGATTTCTTTATAAGGAGTAAAATATACAATCAAACGTGACTGAGGAATCACACATTTTCACATTTCAAATATACAAAGTAATTGTAAAGCTCAATACACCTTCGTTACCCAGCTTCACTGATCACAGTGACTCAAGAAGGATAGGCTGCAGACAGTCTTTGTTTATGCTGCTAAACTATATCTTTTGTGTATTTCAATTTTTAGCATAATTAACCTTATTGCAACTATATCTATGTTAAATTTTCTTAGCTAAGCTAGATGCCAAGCCACATTTTTCAAAATAAGCTCCATAGAAGTTTTCCCTAAAAAAAAAAAAAATTAATAGATGATTCTGTCAAATCAAATTCATTATGCTCAATGACCCAAATATTAATGTGTCATGTGAGCTACACACACAACTTCATTCTTTTGACCAATTACACAGACTTTAAAATCTGAGAGGCATTCAGCAATATTATTTCTCAGTTCTTAATATTTTAAACGTGGGTCATTCCAATCTCCTTTGGCATGTTCAAAACTGCTTTCATTGTTAAGGAATTCAATCACTTAAGCTACACAAATGAGCAATTACATTCTTCCATCATCCTGGAAAGTAACTTGCTTCAGTGAATTTTGATATTCAATGAACTTCAGCTTTCTAACATTAATTGTCTGCACTCTTCTGAACTGGTGTACAAAAATCATGGAGGAATTATTTCATTAAGGTGAAGACAAAAAAGTGTTTTCTTATTTATACAGCATGGTATGTTTGCTTGCAGGGAAATGAGTGCTGCTTTTCTTCTCCAACAGGGTAGGACATTACATAACATAAAATATCGCATTACACAATATATGACAATGCACATGGGCAAATGTTCTTTGCACAATGCCAGTATATTTTAAATAAATAAAAGAGTCTAAACACAGTACAATGTTTGCAGGTAGAAATAATGTCTTTTTTTTTTTTTTTTTTTCCAGAGCAAGTGGTGGAGCTGGGAAAAAGAAGACACACTTTTGGAGACCCCTGTGGTCTGAAGAGCGGCATATTTCAAACGTTATAAACAAGTGAGAAAATTAAGAAGGGGCCAAGGAGGGAATAAAAACAAATATCATTAACATCTCTTCAAAAGTTAATTTGGATATTACTGTCATAAATCAACAGAAGGTCATTTAACTGTGGAAGAATTGGCAGAATAAACACAAAAGGACAATACCACTTACCACTTGAATGAGGAATTCTACCGGAAAGCCTCCTAGTGTTTCACTATCTGTGCCTGAAATTTTGCTTTTCCACGAAGATTGTCCTAATAAAGGATCACTATCCTGTATAGGAAAAAACATTTAAATTAATAGCTTAGTTTTAGAGGGTTTTGCTAACCTTTTTATCTTGCTGAATAACCTCAGAAAATTAATCTCAAAAACTGTTGAAGGTAACAGTTTCAACATGTATCAAAAAATCTTCAATGATTAATACTACACGAAAAAAGTAACTTACTGTAATCGGAGACTGGAGTGAAGGTGTGTATGGCAATCGGGGAGGAGTCATAAAGAACCTTGAAGGCCGTTGTTTCTGTCCGAAGGCAGCAATTGGCATGGTTTCATGAGGCTCGTTGCTCTGGAAGCCAGGAAAAGGATATACCTCAAGTGTCAGATTAATTAATTTTACACACCTCTCAAAGTCTGGATGAGCCATGCCCATCCACACATCAACCCAACAACACAAAAAGATTAATGTTTTCCTTTTGGTCTAGGCAGGAGCTTCAAAATCCTGTTCCACCGCTGGAGTTTTCAAAGTGTTCCAGCATCACGTCAAATAAAACCTGCAGGAATATTTCCCAGAATTCTTCTGGCAAGTTGCAGACAAATCACAACTGAACAGAGGTTCAGTAGAGGTTCCAAAGTCAGATCATGACAGGGACTAGAGACTCTAAATTACACAGATTCAACACTACACAAGATAAAAAGAACATGAGGTCCTCCTAAAAGCTTGCAGTCTAGACCAGACTGTTTGGCAGGAACGATTCCTAGAGCTCGTAAACTGGTACAAAAGCCTATGAGCCAGGAAATCATCCCAAATTGTTTGACCAAAACAACATCCTCCCAGGTAGCTTCATTAGCACAAGAAGTTTCAAAATGAAGTTCAATCAACTCTTAATAGTTGCTTGCAACTACCACAGGCCTTTCCTGACTTTGGCAAATTAAAGAGGGTCAGGTTTTCTTGAACATTTTCTGCAAATCCTGGCGGGATCCCATTGCAGAATTTTCTTTGGGATCTTACACTTCATATATTTCTTCATATTGAACTCAGGCTATTACAATAGCATGTAATAGTAGGTCTAGTAAATTATTCCAGCTAAGCCATTATGTTTTCATCAATAGGGTTATCCTGCTCTGTAAAACCATTAACAGCAGAAGCTCATTATCCTGGAATTTCCCATGCATCTGTTATGCTTGTTTCTACTTTATGACAATACCACCTGGGTATAATATTTTTAATTAAAGCATACCACTGTAGATTTTTTCAATTTAGTTTTTTTTTTTATTACAGCTACTTTGAGAACGTGTCATTAATACTTACAAGAACTTCATAATCTGGGACTGTGTGTGTTCCAAGACCTGCCCTGTCAAAAGTCACTCTGTAGGTAGCATTAAGGGTGTCCACAGCGTCTATTTGTCCAGTGAACAGACCGTCATGGACACCTCGCAAACGCGCTTAAAAACACAACAAGAAACCAAACACTATAATGTTCTGACACCATTGAGAAAAATAGACTTAATACACCTTTTGCAAGTGATCCTTTATATGTATAGTTAAAACCCACAGATTAAACAGGAAAAAAACCAGAAAAGCAAAAGCAAACCCAGAAAAGCAAAAGCAATAAAAATATTACCCAAATTTTTGTCAAATTTAAGTCTGCAGGTCAAATATTTCCCAAATCTAATCCTTAGCACTACACTTATGTCTAAGAAACCCCCACTGTTTAATACCCAATACCTTCTGACAGACAGATTTTGCAGGCAAAAGTCAATTTCCGGATGATTTTGCATAGCACTTCTCTCTGATCACCTCCTCTGATGACTGCATACTTAGCAAAAGACAATGTGGAACCCAGCTCAAGGATACAGCTCTAGGAGAGTGGGGAGAGGCAGTGTTGTGCACTCCTGCTCTTCAGCAAGAATCAAGGGCAATGTTGTTGAACACAAAAAAAGCAATGAACAGTAGTGGCCTGAGTGGGAGACACTTATGTGAAAAGCATCTCAACCATAATCAGACAGTAGGGAGGAATTCAAGTTTTTATAAAATTAGACAAAACTTGAAGAATGTTTTTAACAGTATTCCTTCCTCAGCTATGTGTAAGTTTCTTCAGTAAGGCAATATCATGTTCAGCATACATGTCCAACTACAATGCAGTATCAATTGTATATCCATTTCAAACCAGGCATTTTTATATTTATGGAAAAATAAAGTTCAAGTTTTATATTAGGTCAGATTTTAAACTCTCAAGCAGCACTCATTATTTTGCATTTAAGCATATCTCTCTCTCCAAAATTTGGTAGATATATCAGACATTAAAAAACCCCACAGTATGAACAGCAGAAATAACAAACCCTACTAAGTTTGTACCTCAAAACCGTATCACTGTTTTACTAACACAAGCTAAACCTCACAAGCACCTTCTCAATGAACTAACAAAAACCCATACAATTTTTTATGTCCTACATTTAATTTAATTACGTGCACTTAAGTGTATTATGGCTTACTAAAAATCTCTGCAAAACACTTGGCTGCTTTTTTGTTTGTTTCTAAGAAATTACCTGTAACTTTTGTTCCTATTACAAGCGGTAATGGAATTTCTTCTGGAAGATCTTTGAACTGTGAAAGATCTGCAACTTTCCGCTGCTGCAGAAGTCTTATTTTCTGCCGTTTCTGTTTTAATGCTGACCTCTCCTCCTCAAAGAATGCAGAGGAACACCTATAATACAATTAGGTAAAACTGTACTTAACTTCAACACTGAAAACATACATATGCGAAGGCACACGGCATAAATAGGCACAGTTTACAAATCAGTGAGAGAAAATGAAAAAACTTGGGGTGATGTGTTCAAGGGAAAAGAATTTCATTGAATGTGTTTAGACAGTATTACTCCCCAGAATTATCACTCCTAAAATAAGAGTTTATTTAAAAATAATACGAATACTAGCTGTTGCATCAGTATATCTGAAGAGTACAACTTTTTAGGACTTTTTCTGCTTATAGGGATCCGCCTGGTGTCACAACAAAGGTAAAGCAGGTCCCACACCCAATCTACTCTGGATGCCAGCTCAATGCATGTGAGGAAGACGGACTGTGAGATCCCTGGCTGTCAACACTTAGTGGTACACAGGAGATCCCTTCCATATGTGCTTATTATTAGCTTGAATAAACTAACTTAGTATGAAAGGACACCAGACTCAGCACATAAAGGGGCACTTCTGTCTCATGTCCTTGCACCTGTGCAGAGTAAAGCTCAGCCCCAAAATCTCTATAATGCAAATTAACTGTTCTGAGATTGATCATAGTAAAAGTACAATTTTTTTTTTGATCTTGGGTAAAATCAGATAATCTCTAGCAGTCCCCTTCCCCATTTTGGGAGGGGAGAGTTGTTCTTAAAATGCAATATAAAAGATGGAAGACTCATTCCCAAGGCCCTTACTTGGTTTTATTCATTTTCACTTTTAACCCACTGAATAGGAATGATGCGTGAGGGAGACACTGAAAGCATAAAGACATTAAGGGCTCAATCCTATCTCTCATTCTATATTAGAAAAAGGTTTTTCATTCCTGTGTCAATAAAAGAAGTAATTTTAAAAAGGCAGACAGATGCTATTGTAGGTCTGCTTAATTGCAGAAGCAGTTATTTATCAAATAATTTGCTACCTTTGTTAATTGCTTTACTGCAGTCAAATGCAATTTAAACATTTTCTGTGGAAGTCATACAGTTATATATTGATTACTGATCAATAAGAAATTCTATTTTATGAGGTTATTTTAGAAGACACTGTCAACTCAACTCCTCTGCTCGTTTCCCCTTCTACATTGCAAATTATTTTCTGATTTAAATCCCTTTAAGATCTTCCTCAGTTATTTCCCACTTAGTACTAAGCAGTCAGCTCCTATTTTCAAGTCTGCTTATTATATACTGAAACAAACATCCTCATGTTTTCTTCTGTGTACCCCTCACTGGGAGAGCTCCACAAAGCCACAGTTTCTCTTCCTTGCAGTGTGTATAAGAAGACTGTAAAACACTAAGCCACCAGGATCTTGGGACCATTTTCTTTCATACTGGCCAGCAGTTTCACACTATATGCAGACATCAACTGCCTTTTATCTTATACATGTTTTCTAAGTTATAAGCTGCACAGGCCATCTGTTTTGTACAGAGTGTCCAGTGTTAATGCAATGAGATCCTAGTCCTAAGCAAGACATGGAAAAAAAATAAGCAAGAATGAATTGAAGCTGTGAGGTCCTTTTGTCAGGTACATGCAGTAATGCACTGCACTGAAGGTTCCTGTACCAGGCTTTCCCATCACAATCATCACAAAAGTCATCATAGTCTTTGTATAGCCTGGAAACTGTGTTGTAGATTGAGCAACCATAGGTGCATGTCCCACTCACCAGTTCACCACTGAAGAGCAGAATTTGTTTACCTGGAATTGTGTATTGCCTACTGGTCCTCATCAGGAATTTAAAATATCTAGAAAGGGATATGGTAGAGAGAGAGAGAGGGATGGTGGTTGGGAGACTTATGCAGAGCTTACTTGGATATTTTCACTTAACAATGCTATTTGCTTCATATTTACCACTGGGGAGGAAGAGGTGTGCAATAATGCTTGCTGTGGGCTGTGAGTATCAAGTTGCAAAATACAGGACAGAGCTTTTCAATTCCATTGGCTAACTACAGCAAGACTACAAAAAAGGCAAAAAAAAAAAGAAAGCAACATAGACTTTAATATTAGTCCTTCTAATCACATCCAGTGTCTTGTATCAGACACACCAGATGTTGTTTGACCCATGCTCTTAGAAATACAAATTCAAATGTTGATACTAATCACTGACCTTGGAAGGTCCCTACAACAGCAACTACTGTTTTGCTGCTAGCTCAGATGTTCTGAAAAAGTCTCTGTTCCAAACGCTGTAGATTATGGATGTAGAAAGTATTTGCAACGTATTTCTGGCTTCTCTTAAAGGAAACCTCCAACCCCACATTCCCCAAATGCATTTAATAAAGGTTATCCCATGTTTATGCCATCCTATGAAAAAATGAAGATTAAAACTATGGTACAGATCAAAACTGCAATCTCATTCATCTTCTGTAGAGACTTTCTAAGAGGTTGAACATTCTTCTCAGTTTTTACTTTGGTCATGAGAATTTGAACCAACAGAGGAATCATCATGTAGGACAAGCATATCTGAGCTCCATTCATATCCATCACTATTTCACAAGCCCAATTAAGTTTAAACAGAGTACACAAGACTAACTATTACCTCTTCCTTTTCTTGGAGCATATCTTTCCCCACAGTCTACCGGAATCTTACAAGCTTTGCAGGCTCTCATGAGGAATACTGCTGTGTCAATCAAACACACTGTTGATGTGTGATAGGACATTTAAAGTAGTAGCAGACAGAAGAAAATATTACAATATATTTAAAACAAAACTTAAAAAAAAAGAGGACAACCACGTGGACAGCTATCACAGAGACACTATTATCCTCTGCCATCAACACTGTGGATGCAAAATGTCTTAAATTTTTTTATCCCTCATGGGGAGATATCAGTATTGACATGGTATTTACCTTACCTCCATATGATGAGGACAGACAGAAGAAATTTCTAACGTCATAATAATGTAAAAAAATCTTTGCTCTAGAGGTAGATGAAAATTGTCTTGAAAAAGGATTCAAATTATTTAGAATAATTCAAATCTTTCAAAACTAAGGCCAAAGACCAGTCACGACATCTTAAAAATGACTCCCAGTAAGGTTTTTTTTCAATTAGTAAAGAAATAAAAAGCAAACAGGAATGCTTATTTTATGTTGCTAAAAAGCAAGAACTCATGAAGTTTGATTGTTAACAAACAATCATAGAATCATAGAATCAGACGGGTTGGAAAGGACCTCTGAGATCATCAAGTCCAACCCTTGATCCAATCAAACTCTTCATCCAGTCAAATACTCCTACTTCAAAATTCAGACAAAACACCTTCCTGCCCATTTAGATCTGTGGTTCCTTCAGCATGAGTCTCTCTTTTTAAAGAGCTAACTGTATGACATCTAAGCAAAAAAAAAAAACAAATCAAAACAAAAAACACTCTGCCCCATGGCAAAAAAAAAAAAAGGCAAAAAAAAACCAACCAAAAAAAACCCCACAACAAAACAAACTCAAAACCAGAAGGAAGTTTTCAACCTAATCATGTCAGATGGGGCTTTGAGCAATTGGATCTAGTGGAAGGTGTCCCTTTCCATGACGCTTCCTGCCCCCAACCCTTGTTGGAACTACACAATCTTTAAGGTCCCTTCCAACCCAAACCATTCTAAGATTCTATGAAGTTTTATCAATGATCCAACAGACTGCTGAATGAGGTGAGCCGATCTATTACAGAGGTACCCATTTTTGGCAAAAGAAAATTACTTAAAAATTACTCAAATGAGTAAGCGATGATTTAACCTCTAAATACACAATTTCCCTTTCAGAAGGAAGAATGACAATAGAACAATGAAAAGCTATCTCAGTTAAGCTCAAATGACATGAACATCTTTCCAAGAGGAGCTGTTTTTAAGTTGGCTCTGCTGCCTTCCCGTGACTGACAATTTTTACTTATATCAAGTTGTTTATAGGTAGAGATGATGAAATGGTCTTCATCAGGCAAAATGTAATCTGATTCAGTACAATTCTCTATGAAATGGATTCAGTGCCTTAGTGTTTGCAAATAAAAGGATGGTTTATTTATGGAACACTACTTACACATTTTTCTCCTGACCTTACACAATGACAGGGATGATTGAGTTTGGAAGGACTTCTGGAGGTCATCTGCTCCAATCCCTCCACCAGAATCATTTACAGGAGGCTTCCCAGGATCACATCTAGAAAGCCTTGGAGTACCTCTAAGGACGGAGATCCTACCGCCTCACTTGTGCCCATTGCCTCTTGTGCTGTCTCCAGATAATGCTGAAAATAGCCTGGCCCTGTCTTCTCTATGCCTTCCCTTTAGACATTCACTCACAAAGATGAGATCCTCCCTTAGCCTTCTCTTCTCTAGGCTAAATCACACAGATTCTGTGAAAAGGCTGAACTGAATCAGCGGGTTTCAGAATTAAAAATTCTAAACTATAGAAAAAACTATGCCTTTCAGTCAATTCTAGCTTCTTCTCTACAATGTACAACATTTTATGTGTGACTTTACCCTCTCTCTATTTTGCTAGCCAAGCCAGGAAAAGCTGAGGATCTACAAAACGGTTTAAAAATAATAATAAAATCATTGAGACGAAAACGTGCAGTTGTTTTCCCCATGAAGAGCTAGTTATAGGCAGAATAAAACCTTAGTGAAAAATTGGCTGGTCTTCCATGCCAGGAAGCACTGCAGCATAGAAGATACAATAACAACTTCAACACATTCTAGCTTGGGCACTCAGTTATCTAGAATGTGAAGAGAACATTTCAAGTATGGGTTCCTGAGAACTTCATGGACTGGACACGTGCCTATAAGGAATGGGGCAGGGGAGAGAGGGGTGCTCAGAAAACATTTCAATAAAATGAGTATGTTTTACTACTCTTAAGCTATTGTTTTGTTTTATCACTTGAATGCAAAATTACTTTAAAAGGAACAATTCCAGTAACATCAAAACTACATGTAGTAAGTCAAAAAGAAAGAAAGAAAAAGTTACCTCCGTGGTTTTCCCATTAATCGTCTGATTTTCCCCCATTCCACTCTTGTCAATTTTCTGGTTTTCAAAGTTGGAAAAGATTCTTTCAGGCATATACAGAAGTCATTATCTCCTTCAAATAGTGGCCTGTTGAAACATAATTGGTCCTATCTTAACTGCACTTAGTAAACTTTTGTCACGAGATTCCAAAAAACATCCATCATAAGAAATACATTGAAAACAAATAGCATAAATTAGTTCCATACACAAGACACTCCTATTCGAAGAACAATTTTAACCTGAAATACATTCAACCGAAAACAAAACCAGAAAGTTTCCAGGACAATTGGTCTCTTTGAGCATTATCACTGATGTTTAAAAATGCTCCTATCTCTTGTTACCAAAAAGAAACATATGTATTCATCCTGCTTTGTAACATCCATAAAGGCACCAAAGGAAACTTTAGCAAAGCCAGTGTAGTGTGACGAGGATACTGCAACACACTGAAGGAAACCATAAAGATATAGTGAGGTACTGAGAATAAAGGGGAGAACAATGTGACACTGAGAAAGACCGTACCTTTTTTCATCAATTCATTCAATTGTAACCCAGATTCTCAACAGAGGGTTCCAAAATACAGGAAATTGAACTAACTCTTCATTCTCTGGAGCTGTACAGGTGAGACTTTTATTGTACCATACCATGACTCCATGATGAAGCAGAGGATCGGTATTAGAGAAGTGACAGTTCAGAGAACATACCTACACAACTTACGAATTTCTCTTTGATGCTATGACCTGCCTGTATCTCTGCTTTATGACTGCCTTTTCCTTTGTAGTACCACATCCTTCTTAGGCTGAAGAGACAAGGGAGCAGCAACAGATATGCCCATCTAATAGAAGGTTAATCATTAAAGACTACGTGCAACTGAAATAGATCTCACCCGGAGAGAACAAAAGAATAACTGAATCCTAGATAAAGCCACTTTTCTCCACTCTCTGCTGGGCGCAGGGGTTTGGAGGGGAATATTCCCAAGCACAGAACAAAGAGGATCTTGGAAGCAACACTTCTTTCAAGTGAGTGTCTGGGGTGGCAGGAGAGAGGAAAAGTTCACGGAGATAAGGAGACTTGGGCAAGAATGGAAGAGAATAGTTTTGCAATAGAAGGATCTGCAGCTGTGGCATGAAGTAAAAAGGAAATCACAAAGAACGATCAATGAGGCTCAGGAAACAGACAAGGAAGCATATACAAGAGTTTCATATCCATATTTACTGTTGCTACTATAAGATATCTGTATAAAAACCAACTGCTTTGAGTTTTTTCTTCTTTGAGAAAGATAATCTTATTTGATTGTTTTTACTATCACTTGTCCCTAAGGAGGCAAACCCACAGCATCCACAAGATTGGAAGCTCTGGAAAATGTGGTGTAAGCAAGGTGTAGGTGCATCTGCTTCCGAGGGCCTATGATCTCACTGCAGTAGTAAGTATGTCCTAAGAAGTCTCTGCATGTCTGAAGTCAATGGAACTTCACAGAAAACAGTCCTTTGCAGCAGTATAGAGAGAATCCTACTGAAACAGCTAGAATAATCTAATACCCACTGATGATAGATGTAGAGATATTATATTTTAAAAACTTACAGTAGACATGGCACTTAAATTGATTATTTCAATTTTGGATTAGACAATTTGATTAAAATATTCTGAGACTTGTACAGTGAGCCATATTTTGTCAGCTGACAGCTCTATGGTTTAAACTTTAAGTTTTTCATTAAGTCTGGATCATATCACTCAAAACAACATATATCAAAGTTTTTCTTCCAAAGATATGACGTCTCTTAGTAAACAATATTACAATATCTTAACATGGTCATATCTTACAAGTACTACAAGCTGTATTTGGGTTGTGTGGCAAGGTTTTGGTAGAGGGACGCTGCAGGGGTGGCGTCTGCCAGAAGCTTCTCCTATATCCAACAGAACCAATGCCACTTGGCTCACAGATGGACCCACCACTGGCCAAGGCTGAACCAATCCGTGATGGTGGTAGAACTTCTGGGATAACAGTTAGGAAGGGGGAAAAAAAACCCTGAACAATTGCAGCAGGACAGAGGAGTAAGAATATCTGAGAGAAACAGCTCTGCAGACACCAAGCCAATGTCAGTGAACGTGGTGCTCCAGGTGCTGGAGCAGAGAAGACCATGGTGAGGCAGCTGTGCCCCTGCAGCCCATGGAGGTCCACCATGGAGCCACCTGCAGCCCCTGGAGGGCCCCACATCAGAGCAGGTGGATGCCTTAAGGAGGCTGTGAACCCCTGGGAAGCCCACACTAGAGCAGGCTCCTGGCAAAACCTGTGGACCCATGGAAAGGAGCCCACATTGGAGCAGGTTTTCTGGTAGGACTTGTGACCCCATGGGGGACCCACAGTGGAGGAGTCCATTACTGAAGAAGTGCACCTCACAGAAGGGGCCTACACTGGAACAGTTTGTGAAAAACTGCAGCTCGTGGAAAGGACTCACATTGAAGAAGTTTATGAAGAACTGTGAACCATGTGAGGGATGCCACACTGGAACAGGAGAAGAGTGTGAAGATTCCTCCCTCTGAGCAGGAAGGAGCAGCAGAGACAGCATGTGATCAACCGACCACAACCCCCATTCCGTGTTCCCCTGTGCTTCTGGGGGATAGGAGGTAGAGAACTGGGAACAGAGCTCAAGAAGAAGGGAGGAATGGGGGTAAAGTGTTTTAAGATTTGGTTTTATTTCTCATTATCCAACTCTGATAAGTTGGATAATAACTCAATAAACTCTGATTAGTTTATTGGTAATAAACTAATTTCCCCAAGTCGAGTCCGTTTTTTACATGACAGTAACTGGTGAGCAATCTCTCCCTGTCCCTATCTCAACCTATGACCTTCCTGTTACATCTTCTCCCCCCTGTCCACCTGAGGAGGGGAGTGACAGAGCAGCTTTGATGAGCACCTGGCATCCAGCCAAGGTCAACCCACCACACAAGCACACATTGATAACTCTCAAAGAGGTTTTCAGAATTACCTGCTAAACTCAAATTCTAGTCTTCAGAATTACCTGCTAAACTCAAATTCTAGTCTACTGACAGGCCTGAAGTTTCACAGACAATTATTTAAGAATAAACTGAAAGTTCTTGGACCGTTGTAAAAATCATAATTAAAAATGTCACATATTAAAATTACTACTAGAAATAAGTAAGGTTTGGGGTTTTTGTTTATTTTTTTCAAATAAGGAGGGAAAATGGCATCCAAAGACTACTTTTTTCAAAGGAATTAAACTCTACAGATGATGAATTTAAAACTAACTAAAATGGACGTGTAATTTTTCCACTTCTGATGAATATATGCCAGAATGTTTTTCTGTTGCTATGACTGCCTTCCCAGTTAAGGAAAACAGCTACAGCAATTGTGATTAAAATAGGAAGGAAAAACAGTAATTATTTTGTTTGTACATTCTGGAAAATAATGCTTGTTAACTCCAAAGCCATTCTTTAGAATATTAATTACTAGTTTTTCATCCATTAGTCAATCAGTGTAAATTTTAAGATTCCATTCAATAATGATTTTTACATTTCAGAATTTTTAGTTTTACTATAATAAATTAAAATGGTTCTTTTAAATAATTTACACCACTGTGCTAGTGCTGTTAAGGTTAAAAATGCCACAGATTCTGACGCACAAATTGCAAAAACAGTCCAGGAAATATATTAAGAGATCCAAGAAGGATGCTGATATCTAGATAAAAGCTGAATAGTCACAGCCTGGAGCTTTGTTAGTGATCACGGTAAAAACAGGATGATGGGGAAGAAATATCCAATATCAACATTTACCCCTTTTAGGGAAGCAGCACCTTATGAAGAAGCAGACACCTTCCTATCTCCCCTGTATAACACTGATCCAATGGTTCAAAGAAGTCTAAGTGTTCTGATAACTTCGTGCTTCAGATGCTAAAAACATTATGAATAAAATCTTGTATCAGGTAGAGGCAGATGTGACAGAAAAGAAAATTATATCCATGAAGGAAGACTTTCCACAGACAACTTCCCAAAGTTGGTAGTTCCAAAGAACTACCCATGTACATTGCACATGATAAAAAAGATTAAAAAACCCAACAGCAAAACAATGAAATAATTTTCAGTAACTAATAATTTAGAATAAACTTTGGAGTATTTAACCAATATATGGAACTATGCAGCTCAATTTCAAAAAATTACTTTTTTCTATACTAATAAGAGAGGATTATATAAAGCAGACATACTTATCTATATTTGAATAGAACCATTCATATATGCACCACTTGTGAGCTTTGGGAAGTTTGAGCAGGTTGCGAAGCCGTAAACCAATCTTCTGTGACACTTTCTTTTCTGGTGTTGACATTGTTGTACTAAACTTCTAGGTAGAGGGAAAAAAAAAAGGAAACGGTTAAACACAGTCTAATATTTTTCAGTATTCAAATAACCAAGCCAGATTTTCTTGATAAAAGTTTGCACATTAATAATTGCTAAATTTTAATAGCACATATTGTTTCGTGGCAATTTTTCTGTTGCAGATCTATAACAACCCTTACTGCATTATATCAGCAATGCAATTAAACAGAGCAGAAGTAGACAGCAAACTTCAGCAGGATCAATACAATCGATGATATCTATACAAGACTCTTTTAATGGAAACATTTTCCAGCACTGAAAACTACATTACTGCTAACAATAGCATGGCACTAAAATACCTACAGACTTCCAAACCTTCAGGCACCACTGAACACTGTCTCAGGTGAGCATACATGATGTTGCTCAGATGCCAGCAACAGCAACTGCCTCATTTGCACTGGGGCTTCTACTCTTGCTCACTCTTCTTAAGCCGAGGATGAAGCTAGCACAGGAATATAATACAGCCAAAGCTTTGAGTGGAATGTCTGCTTTTTAAAAAACTGCAAGAGAAACTAGCATGGACATAAGAAATCCAGTTCAAACTACATTTGGAAGCTATTTCACAGACTGCAGAAAAGACACTGTCTTAGATTGCATGCATAATACATAGGCCTGTTTTTAAACAAGACCATAGAAAAATAATTCTGTAGTTTTGTTCCAGCAATGGTTGTCTTAACTGACAGAAAGAAAAACTTATTTGCAAAAAATAACAGCTTTTTGAGACTATTAGTTTAACTGGGTCCCCATGCCAACATCAGTTGTTATTCTTCCCCAAACACTCAAAAGTATTTTGGCCTTTAGTAGCAGCAATGATAGGATAAAGCATAAGGTAGGCACCTTGCTGGCTCCTGTTACACTAGATAGAGGTCCCCTTTCTCCCACTGGAACTCCAGGAAACAAAGCCTAGTGGGACAGCAAGATCTGCAAACTACGGCAGCTGCAGTCCCTTGCAAGTATTTATCCAGCAATCATTGGATCTCCTGAACCAGACATTTAAGCACAAACCAACTGGGTTTAGAACATTTTCTAAGTCCTCCTACTCTTACAAAGTCATGGTAACGAAGAGAAATGTTGCGGTCCTCCTCTATGGCCAAATGGACCCAGCAAAACAGCGAGTGCTAAGTCTTCCCCATTCGACACTGCACACACAGTCCAGAAGGCAAGACCAGTGTTCAAACAGTGCTTTTTCAGTGAGGTAAATTCAGGCTTATAAGGTGATGGTATAGAGAAGTGATTTGGATGACAAAGGTATTACAGAGCCAATTAATTGAGACTAAGAGACGTTGCCCTGTCTAACATAGCGAATAAAGGCTGAAAGATATTAACAGCTGTTCTTTCATGCTATATCAAGGAGTAGACAATCAAGTGGAGAAGTAGTACTTCTGGAACTGTTTGAACTGGAGTACGTTACCATTACAGGATCCAGAAGGTATAGCGGTATAGATGGCCATAAATACACTTAAGCCATAAATCTACAGCAAGTTCCTAACTGCTGAGATGCATTAAGTCCTACAGCAGCCTTCTAAATGATGTAGTCAGTGCAAGACACATAGTCAGTTTTTAACTGAAGCTGAATAAATTTATGTTGACTACAGGATACAATTGTTTGCAGGAGCATGATGGGCAATTAGTCTGGAATCCTTTCTAGCCCTGCATGTTCATATCCAGGATCACAAAGAACAGGTACTCCCATAAACAAACTGAGGAAACCAGTTGTAAGGAAGAAAAATATTCATCTGTTTTGAATTGCGGCTTACTCCCAGCCACAGCTTTCCTCACAAGAACATTTGTAAGCCAAAAATGTAACTTAAAAAGCAAATCTATTCTAATTTTCAACTAACACAGATAGGCTTGGTCCCTTTTTTGGTAAAAATATCTCCATACATGTAGGTACCTGTGGAACCATCGCAACCTTCTGATTTCTTTTGGGTGACCTTGTGTTTATTTGTCTGTCATCTTCTTCGCAGAAGAGTCGACTCCGTTTTGAATTTCTGAAGGGCTGTATGTATCAAAATTAAGAATGAATTACAAGGAAGAAAACTTGATTTCTCTGTTCATGCACAGAATTCACAGTGAGGGAGACAAAATGCCTTTTCTCTTGCCACCTATTGGTTTTAAGGCACATGGTACACAACAAATAGTGCCTCCCAGCAGTTAGAGATCTCAGGATTGAGAGAAGGAGTTCAAGACTCCAAGCCTTCCAATGCTAACTATAACCCATTACTATACTGCTGGCCCAGTTTCACAGAAGTATTTAGAACTTAACTCCCACTTGTTTCCATTAGAGTTAGGTGTCTAAACACTTGTGTATACAAGATTGCTTTGGTTATAAGTACATCTGTTTGTTCTAAATTTCAGGTCAAAACCATGGTTTATTCAAACAGTGGATTTGGTTTATATGTTCTCAGTAAAAACATTAGCTGCATATAACTTTTTGCAAGGATTTCTAATGAGCCTAATAAATTGTTGTGGGTTTCTTGTATTTTTAATTCACTGAAGGTCCCTACACTGCAAAATGTTAAGAAGCTGAAGTCTGAAGAAACTAAAGCTCGAATAAGTTATGTGAAAATATCGGAAAAGAGAAGAATTTAGAATTTAAATTTTGCTAACTGAAATTAACTTGTGTGCTAAGATGTTACAACTCAGAGAGAATTAGAAAGCTGAGTGAAAGCAAGAAACCATATTGTAAATGTGCCATTAAAAATATGTTTAGTTATTCCTCAACATTTTACCCTATGACAAAAAACTTGTGCCATCAGTGAGGACAAAAGAGTAACCTATGACTGGCTGTTAGTGCTGAGGGGAAGCAGCTTTTCCCTCCAGGACTTTGTGGCCCAGCACAGGAGACAGCCACCACTGACATGGATCTCCTTTACAGAATCCCAAAACTGCACTCTGTGGCATTCCTTGCACTTCAAACTACTTACAAAGGTGACAAGTAAAGGCAGAACAAATGCAGATTTGACTTCTTTCAATACAGAGGGTGAAAGTTCTACAAATTGATATGGGGTATGAAAACTGTAACACCAACAAGGTGAAGAATACTGATAACAAATATAAGTCCCTCACAGGAGTCAGAAACAAAATAAATCAACAAAGTGAAATAAAACTTCACTATTAAGCATTTACACTTAAGAAAGATATTTAGTAAGTTTGTAACCAAATCCTTATGATCCAGATCAAGCAAACCGTTTTACAACCCTCAACAGGAATTGCCAAATTCTATTCCAATAAACTATCCAAAATGGTAAGTGTTTCATCATTCTGGACTGTCTGTGTCTCACACAAGAGCATCACCTAATGCACTACTAGATGCCACTCAGATATTTTGATTATTTGCAGAGCAGGCAAGCATGACAGTTTTCAAATAAACAAACTGTTAAAAAAAATAATTTTAATAAATACCAGGTGATAGTTGGCAAGTGGGTCTCAAATACTGTAGTAGAAGGTGGTACCAGGAGTATGGGAGAACAATCTGCCTAGCAACTGAGATGGTATTTCATATACTCTCCAGAGCGTAAAAATGAAGACACACAATGTTACACATGTAGACAAACCAGGTGCAATAAAGCTGGTGGCAAAACCAAACCAAAATCCCATAATTTTCTAAGGCAGAGGAGGTTGAGAACAGTCAAGAAAAGCTTGATTGTGATACAACAGGGAAAGAATATTTCAAAATATTCAAAGAGAGAGGGAAACTGTCAACCCAAACACCAGATACGTCCTTGGAAGCTGCAGGCTCATTTCATATCCCCACCCCAAGGCTGTTCTTTAATGTAAGGCCTCCTATGAGACTTCTCAGAACACCACACACCTCACTGACATTCCTCTACTTTTATTAAAATCTACTCCCCAGAAGGCACAATGATGGAAGTGCATTATGATGTTTCCCCTTCCTTTGCTTTATGTGTCAGTTCCCAGCCGTAATTAGAAGTGAGGTATTTACTGAGACGCAAAAATAGTTGATCAGAATTGGTGATTCCTAAGCTCAAGGTGGTACATACAGTACAAATACTTCACACAGCACTTGCTTTACAAAAAACACAGAAAAAATTATCACGAGCTATCTTGAACAAGGCCAGCAATTTAACTTGTTCAATTATTCATTTATAAAATACGTTTGTCTCTCATATTCAAACTGTGCAGAGTGCTTGTGAAGGACGTAGTTTAACACTTGGACATTATGAAACGATACATCTCAGTCAAATTTTGTGATCCTTAAATTTCATTCATTCTGTGGTATTTTACTAATTCTGAATCTGCTTTTTTTTACTTCTTACCATTTCCACTGCAGAACCAGCATTCTTGCTTCTCCAAATGTGCGTTTTCTGCAGAGGATTGTACTTTTCATTCCACGAACTTGATAAGCTTCCCTCTGTTGTGAAGAAAGTATGTCATTAATATATGTATAGGTAAGTGTACCTTTCAACATAATCACTATCCAAAAGCTCGTATAACATCGACTAATAAAATACTTTTTTTTACTTGCAACATCTTCTTTGAATTCAGTTACAAATGGATTCTAGATTTCAATATTTTCATTAAACTGTTCTGAACAATAATTAAAAAAAATGAAGGAGGTTTTCAGTACAAGGAGAAACACGAACAAAACATTTTTTACTTGTGTCTGTGTTTAGGTTTCTTGAAACCTCCTTTGCTGGAATCAGTTACTTCCACTGTCAGGTTGACACACATTTAGACAGCTGAATTGTGGCTGTAACAAACCTGCAGAAGGTACAGCTCTACAAGATTTAGCCACCTTCTGGTTCTAGAAATGTATGAAGTGGGTGCAGATCAACAAGTAAAACAAATTTTATTACAACAAACCTATATTACAACATATTCAACAGATCATGCCTTCCTCCTTATGTAACAGAGGCCTTGTAATACATAAAGAAGCTTCTATTATTGGACAAACTAAAAGTGTTCAAAATTTGTATGAATGCTCCTGAAGACAATTTCAAAGAAAAAAATATAAGCAGCAGTAGATTTTTGATTTAGCCCACAACCTGCTGACAGAGAATACAATGAAATTGTGAAATGCCTTCCTAATGTAAATTCTGTCGCATACACAGGTCTTGCTAAGAATCCTTCTCGCATCTTGTCCTCAAGAGAGGAAAGATTATCCCAATCTTCTCATCAAACCTGACACCTTGGCAGTACTTAAAAAGAAAAAAACACATTTCAGGAATTTCATCCAGAAGAGCAGTGTCTAAATACACCACAACATACGTAGTTTCAACTGCCACGGAGTATTAGTCTAGAGAACTAACAAATATCTACAATAAACCAAATTGTATTTCAACAAAAAACTTTCTTCAGTGGTATTTTCTCGAACTCTGTGAAGCCAGAAACTAAGTACACCTGAAAGTCAGACTGGGTACCAGTAAATAACACATTCATTTCTTACCTTTCAAGCTCACAAGTGCTTTTGCTGAAGAACCTGCAATATATCAAGAAGTCAACATAAATCATAAGCTGTTTCAAGCCATACAACCTATGCAGAGTCTACTCATTCTTAATTAATTCTTAGGCAGAAAGTGGAATTTATTAAATCTTTTGCAGCTGAATAAGTGAACCCAGTGCGCCTTCCATGGTGCTAAGTACAGCATTATATGTTTATTATCACTAAATTTTGAAAGCATATTCATGTTTTGTTTTTTCCTTTAGTTTTACATCAAGAAAAAAACTTTAGATGTTAAGCACTTATATTTAACACAGCAAATTCTGAAAAAGCTTTATGTCCACACTACATACCTCCATTTGGCTGTTTGTCTGCTGCAGCTGAAAATATATTTTACAGCTGACAAGGAAACTACTGAACACTTTTTTAATGATTTCTACCAATTCAAAATTCTTCAATGCCCAAAATTTCCCCAAAAGGAGTAGCTTATGCTCAGAAGGAGGAAGATGGATAGTTAGTTGCCCCCTGGTGGTACCACTTCATTAAGAAAAGCAACAGATTCAGATCTCGAATGCAGACAGGACAGTTAGTTTGCTCAAACTGTTCAAATGGTGCAATAAACACATCAGAATTTCACTGTTCCCCTTCCACTGCATCTCTAGGACCTCTGCAATGCTCCTGGGCCAGGAAGAAACAAAACTGGGCCTGACAACACTGGTCATTCATGCCCTGGAATTTTCAAATCTCTCTCTAAGAATGAGATGTTTGAAGCAGCTGCTTTAGCAGAGGGGAAAAGATATTTCTGCATGACAATGCAGATTCATGCTTTTCCCTCAAGTCAACTTTACCTTTCCAGTTATGTTCCAGTATGGCAAACGTTTTTTCCTCTCACTTTCTCCACTCCCTCTTTCAGCTCCTGTTTGCTGTTCCAACTTTCTGACTTCAAAGGTCCAGAAATTCCTTTTCTTGTGGCTGCCCTTTATCTAGCTCCTAACCCCACTAGTGCCAGAGATATTTGCCCCTTAGAGGATCCCTTCCAGGGAATATCACAGAGCCAAAAGAAGAAATATTGTCCCTTTCCAGGGAACCAAGCATTTGGGGTTGGGCTGGACTGTTGAAGAGAATACAACAGCAGCAACAGCAAAAAACTCCCCTACATTCCTTATTTCGTCATCATAGTATTTTGTTTGCTGCTATTTTATTATGCCATGTGTTACCAAAAAATCCCAAACCAAACTTCAGTTGAAAAAAGAAAGTTTCTATTTTTTTAATCTTTTTGGGAAAAAAAAAGTTTAAGATATGAAAGGGAACTAGTTTTGACTCCCTGGTGGTTTAGAGGGCTTCCACCCCAGTATCTCCCAAGCTGTTCAAATCTACAGCTAACACATATAGGTTACACGTCAAAACCAAGATGACACACCTGGGCTAAACTGTTGCTCTTCTTGCACATTTCTTTTCTGATGTATCACCTTTATTGGGCTGGGGACCTATCAGCCACAGGTACAGGAACATGCTTCTATGATGATCTGATTCACAGTGAATTCAGCTCTTGAAACTAAGCTGTATGTTAAAGGTATCACAAGATTTTTTTTTTAAATTTCATGCTAGAAATCCAATACTGTACACCATGCTTGCACATGGATACTCTGCTATCAACCAAGAATAAAGAGCCCTGAACTGTAACAGTAAGAACAATAAAGAACTACTGTGTCCCCCAAATTTATATAGGGGATGGTGGGAAATGTGTGCAGAGATAAGTAAGTACATGCAGTATATGCAGTTTAAGAACACGGGAAAAGTACATGCCATTGAGGATGGAGAGGCAGGAGCAGGGTCATCAGGACTGTCAAATGGAGGAGATGCTGCCCTTCCAGAACAAATCACCACTCTGAAAGATCTCAGGCACTTCATTTGTAAGACCAAACATACAGTCATTTTCCTCTTTTTCTCACTATCTTCCTCATGTGAATCAAGTTCAACAAATTCAGTCCAGGGTGAGTATGTCAACAATGCAAAAGAAAAACCTCAGCAACAGGCAGCAAAGCTTTATTTGGGGGTGGTGTCAATCTCACAGCTCTGCTAACCCTGATGCTTCACCTGTGAGGCTGATGATGGGCCAGCAGAGCAGGGCATGAAACCACTGGCATCAGAAACAACATGTAAAGAGGTGATGAACACAGAAGGTTATGTGCCACCTTAGAGCTTTACAAGATTACCACTCCAAAACAGCTTTAGTTGCCAAGGAGTTTTCCATACACGACCGTTAATCTTCAACAGACATGCTAGAACAGGGCTGCTCATCTCTTTTCACTTAACCTGCAATTAAAGTAATGTAACCATATCTATATCTATTTAGGAATACAAGTGTCCAAAAAAGAAATTCTTGACCTATGGAAGTTCAGAAGTTAAACTAAGCTATTTTAATGTAAGAAGGTGCAGAAAATTAACACCAACGCTTTTGTAGCTTAAAGCTTTAGGACATCAAAATGACAATGGAAATGTCCAGAAGCTTAATTTTACCAGAAAGGCAATAATATGATACAACATGGCTTTTCTTGTCAAGTTCTTCTACACTGATCTTAGAGGGTATCTGCAACAACACCAAACTTCTAGGAATACAGTACCTCTGCCATTTAGTTTGGCAGTACTGTACATACTACCAGGGCCACAAAACCAGCAAGTAGGATGATGATCTAAGCAATACTGTGTTACAATAAAAAACAACCAATGTTTAACACAGATAGAAGCATTTCAGGAAGTATAAAAGTTGTGATGTGATGCAGGATAGATTTATTAAGTTTTACTGTTTATTAAAACTATTCCATATTTTAGTTTAAATAAGGATTACATTTATAATATCTCAGTCTCACATTAAATGCCAATAGTCATGTATACTCCTGTTCTGAATAACAAATATATAATCACAGGCAGTCTTTTTAACCTGCATTTTAATTATAAACAGAGATTCAATTAGAATACACACACACACACACTTGAATGTAAATATCTATTATGACAATGACACAGATTTCATTTCCAGAAACACTTCAAAAAACAAATGGGTGGAAAGGAAGAAATCAGGCCTATAAATCATTTAGGGTATTACAACCAAAATCTACTTCCAGCTCCTCCTGGTTCAAAGGATGTCAGAGGTGACTTTATTAACACTGAGAGTAAAAAAAACCCCTCAACCTAGGGAGGAAGCACAGCCAGCTCAGCACAGCAGTGGCTCAGGAATTAGAAGGCTACACCAGCACACTATTCCAGTGTGAACTGTACAATTGACTTAGTCTCATCTCAGTACCCTACTGAGTATTGCTTGGCATATGTTGTTAGAAAATTAATTACCTGAATACAGTATTCACACTTGACTAAGTCTGAAAAATTAGGAAAGGATTCAGAAGAGATATAAGAAAAAAATTTCAAGATCTAAAAACTTGCCCTATTGCAAGAAAGTTAAGATGCTCCAATCTTGTTCTTCCCAAAGAAGGTCAATATTGTCACTGATCAGAAGCATCCACAAAGAAGATAATTCAGACGGGTAAACAGCTCTACACCCTACAGGAAAGGCACAACTAGACCTATTTTTTTAAAAAATCACACTGGATAAGTTCAGGTTAGCAATGAATGCAAAGTTTAACAGATTTTACGTAACTATACCAAGAAAGGGCACGTTGAGCTCCCTATAATTCAAAATCCTAAACACCAATTTCACATATATTTTTAAAGAGAAAACTATAGCTAAAAAGGAAGCGTGTAACTGGTGCACAGAAATTCCAAACAAGTATCGTAGCATGCTTAATGAAGAATCTAAGATGATTATAATGGCCTTTCCTGGCCATTATAAACCCCCCAATGATTCTGTAAAATATGTGCACCACAGATGTGGTGCAATAAAAATAACTGTGCTAGATTATGAGATATTAAATAGTATGATAACAGGAAGCTCATCAGTAAGTAAGAGTCAGGAACAAGTGTATTTATGTGTTTTATAACACTTGCAAGAAGTGATTTTCATGAAGTCCACATAAAACCAAATTGGGGGTGAAAAAAAAAAATCTACATTAAAATAACCCCAGCTTTGCCAAGCTTAGTGTAAAAAGGGCCCTGATGTTTTCACACTTGGCTAGTTAGAAACCAATGGGCTTCAGCAGCAGCCAGCGTGGGTTCCTGCGGGTGGACAGCTCCTCCAGTCCTGAACCGCCGCTCCCTCCGAGCACACACAGTCACCAGGAATCCTTCCTCCAGCCCCAGCCTCCTTCTCCCAGCACAGGGGAGGACGTTCAGAGCATTGCAATGAACAGAAGTTAAAAAAACCTAACTGCTCTAGAAGCCTTATGAACAGACTTTAAAAGGATCTCTGATATTTTGCCCTCCAAAAGTATTTCTGATGTGGACATAGGCTTTGAGGCATGGGAGAAAAGCACAAAAGCTGTTACCTTAAAAGATTAAAGTCAGGTTTAAGTTTAAAAACAAGTACCTATTGCTATTCATTTGAAAACACCATAACTGAACCACAGAGGAGGAGTTCAACCACAATTCGATATGGGCAGTTGCAGATGCCCTGATGTATATTTTCAATACTAACGTGAAGCAAAGGAGTTTAAATACGGCTTCTCAACTGCTGATCTTAAAATCTAAACAGGAACACAGACAAATATATTACATTTTTGAAAATGTTTTCATATTTTTTAATAAGGAACTTGTAACAATTATTATAATTTTGATAATAAATGTTACAAGTAACCACAGGGATATTCCATAGCTACTGATTTTACTAATGTGTGGGGACAAATCTGTATCTAAATCAATACAGAAAATTCTAGGATCCAGATAAGCAATTACATAATGTAAAGCCTTTCCTCTCCAGACCATTACGCTCCTTTGTCTAAATTTGCACAGGTGAGCAGTTATTTTAGCCCTGGTTGCATGACTACCTCAAAACCCTATGTAATTAAACTACATTGACAGCACGAAAAATGGTGTGACAGAGGAAACTCATGGAGAAGAAGGGAAAAACATAAGTCTTTACTATAGACTGAGTCATTAACCCTCCAAGAGATCATTCATCTACACAAGCACAGCATAAGCTGTTTCAAAAGAGGAAGCATCTCAAATGATTGGGCACTATTAGGATAGCTTATTCAGGAAAACTTAGAAAATAAAAAGCACACATCAGAGGGAAAAGGGGCTTAGGGGAGCTTTTAAAGCTTCCCTGAAACTTTGTGTTTGTTGAAGAGGTAAATAAATGAATAATTTAAATGAATATAACTTTTTGCTTCAAGCATGAGTCAGTATTTCCCTCACATTATGAGCCCACTAATAAACTGACATATGTGTATTTCCAAACCCTGATTTAACGACTGGATGGAAGTAAATTTTTCAGCCACGCAAACCCTTCTACAGGACTTGTGGAGACAATAACCACAATAACAAAGCCCTCTTTTTGAAACACTGTTCTCATAAGGGACAATGTGCTGATACCATGGTAACATACAATTTTAAAGGTATGCAGCACTGTAAAGTATTCATTTTGGGTACTATATAGGAGCCTCAAAACTAATCTGGAGCCTTCTCCCAAATGCTGTGATCTCACACGGTTCTGCTGACTTTTTACCTCAAACATCCAGAGCACACCAGTGTTAGGCTCATGGCGCCTTGGGACTGGAAAACCAAAGTGGCAAGAGGTGTGCCATATCCTTCCTGCAGCTATCCAGGAATGCATCAGAACACAGCCAGAGCACCTGGTTATGTAGGGGCAGGGTGCCTGTGAACCACAGCATAAGGTTGTACGGGGGCTAAAGAGAACAACTTCTGCACGAAGTGCCGCTCTTATGCTGCAGCCCCTGCCCATGGGATAAAAGGCCCCCTTCCCTTCTGTCCTAAAACACAGATCCCTAGAACCAGTGATGTCTTAGCAATACATGGTATTTAGCAATATCCTACTGTTTGCAGTATTTGTACTGTAAAAGTTGAACACTTTGACACCAATCACCTCTGCAGTCTGGCTCCTTTCTCCAATTCACCTGCCGATCGTTGGTGTTTGCCCACACACAACACAGACACATTGTACCCAGTGGTTCACTGCTGGCCCCGTGCTCCTGATCCCTGAGCTGGCTAAGCATCCTTTCATTTCTGTCAAACATGGGAGCTCAGCCTCACTTTTACAGAGCCAATTCCAGGCATCCTCCTCCCTGAGACCAGCTCGTGGTGCCAAAGGACGCACCAAGACGCAGCTTTGCCTGTGCTGTGTCTGCAGAGCTCTGCCTCCACCGGCACCAGGACAATCTTCCAGCCACATCTGCTTTATCAGAGCCCCACCTCAGCTCCCCTGTGTGAACTTTATAACCAAGTAATCCACAAATAAGACTGCTATTACGAGGATCAAGAGACAGGGCAATATTATGTACACTCCAATACAATCAACTGTTTCCCTCTTCTGACACAGAGAGAAAAAGCCATCTGGTCTGCAGCAGTAAGGCTGCCCACCATTTACCTCCGCTGAAAAGTTACCAGGAGATAAGAAGAGGGGAAAAAAATGCATTGACTAAAATTAGTCACTCGTTGGGCACCAACCCAACAGTCTGCAGAATCAAATTTTGTCTTCAAAATATGAATCCAATTATTAGTATTGGAAGTACTTCTGCAATTGAGACCTTTAATACAGACGATTTGCCACAGCATTGTTCTTTCTTCACAGCACTTCGTTGCATCCTGAGTTACTACATCCCTCTTCCTTGGCAGCCCTACTAAGAAAAGGCCTCAACTACAAGAAATGCATGTAAAAATATGCACTGCCATCTTCATTTTTTTAGGCTGTCAGTGTGAACCCTCTTATCGTTTCAAAAGGTCAGAATATCAGCTTTAGAGAAGGATGAGACAACAGTAAAGTTGAACACGTTGACACCCATCACCTCTGCAGTCTGGCAGAGACAACTATGTGCATTACATTCATCTCCTTCCTCAGTTAAGGAATAGTCACTGCCCAGCTCATTACAGAACCTGACAAGAGGGCAAGTAGGTGCTATTAAAATACTCTGGGACAAATTCCACTTCATCAGATATCCAATCTGAAAGTGAAAACTGCATGGTTCTTACCATAACAGCAAAATTTCAGTTTTCTTATTGCTGAGTATGCTGCGTTTACTTATAATTCTTTTTACATGAAAACTCAGTTATGGTCTACTATAAACTATGCTGGAGAAAATTCACAGGTATGATACGTAAATCTGAAAGTCTGTTAGCCATGAACTATTCTAACTTTTTCAGGAACTTATTTTTACACCACTATAGAAGATTCCAAAATCAATTTTGCAATGCTTACTGTTACTATCCTGTATAAATTAAGCTGCAGATAGAAGTCAGTGTTAAATCAGTGAGGACTAAGTTTACATCCTCACTTTAAGTATAGGACTGGAAATGAAAGAACTATGCGTGGCAACAGTGTAATTTGAAAACATCCAGATCACCAAAACTGGATAGAATAGGATTGAAATTCACAAGGCAAACACATTTCAAAACTTTCACATTTCTAGCAGTTCACTACACTATAGAAAACATGAAGCTCCCTATCTGACAGAAAACATCCCTTACTTGCACCAAACTTAGGTAAATACAAACTTTAGGGCCAAGTCAACACAGCGGAAGCTTATTACCTTCACAAATACACACACTGTCTGCTTCACCTGCCGAGCAGAGACTGTACCAGTGATACTGCTGGCAAGAGGCTCCAGGATAGCCCAATCCTAAGGGAAGCTGAGTCACACTATTACAGGATCTACTATAGGTGAAGCAACAGACCTGTCAAATCTTCCTGGTGCCACTGTAGGCAATATAAAGGTGGCAGAGACAAAAAAGTTATTTTTCCTACTTCATGTTAACTTCTCGAAGCGGACAGTGCCTTCCCTGGAAAGCAGGTGGAACAGTAACTTAAACACTGCTCATTCTAGTGAAGAAGGAAACTTCAATAAGCAACAAACTGCTGCTAATTACTAACTATGATCTTGTCAACTGGTCCTTGACTCGTGTCCTGTACCACATTTAAAGTCTGATTGATATGTGACTGAGCTACACTAAGTTGAGAGTGTCAGTTCTATCCTTAATTTATTATGATCCTTCATAAATCTGTTCTGTTAACACAATTGCACCAGCCACGTGGGCACACTAACCCATTTTTCTCCTGACAGTTGTTGGAGTTGTAACAAAGACCGCACAGAGTAGCCAGAAGCAAGATTTCCACTCGGAGTCACCTCCCTCTGAGAATCTTTGGATATGGAAAGAGTTGGTATGTTCATGAACTCGCATGGTGATCCACAGAGCAGCATCACCAAAAATATGTCTACCCCACTGTGTGCAGTTATTGAAGCTACAAATGCCCTAGTTTTAGCTTGGCACGAGTTGACAGTTTGTAAGAGCACATGTCAAGGTAGCATGCACGCACATTTTACATTGAATAATTTCCTCTTCTGTAACACTTAAGTGTTATGTGCATGAATCCATATACACAGCAACACATGTGGTTTTCACCTACACTAAGTTTTTATCTAATCCTCATGCTCATTGAAAACAACATCCACACAAACCCTATGGAGATGATAGAATCAATTAGGTCGGAAAACACCTCTGAGATCATTGAGTCCAACCTATGACTGAACACCACCATGTCAACTAGACCATAGCACCAAGTACCAAGTCCAGTCTTTCCTTATACACCTCCAGAGATGGTGACTCCATCACCTCCCTGGGCAGTACATTCCAATGTCCAATCACCCCTTCAGTAAAGAAATTCCTCATAGTGTTGAACCTAAACCTCCCCTGGTGCAGCTTGAGACTGTGTCCTCTCCATCCAGTCGCTGGTTGCCTGGGAGAAGAGACTGACCCCCACCTTGCTACAACCTCCTTTCAGGTAGCTGTGGAGAACAATAAGGACTCCCCTAAGCCTCCTCTGCTCCAGGCTAAAAACCTCCAGCTCCCTCAGCTGCTCCTCACAGGACTTTTGCTCCAGACCCTTTGCCAGCTTCGCTACCCTTCTCTGGACCTGCTCCAGCACCTCCACGTCCTTCCTGAATTTAGGGGCCCAGAACTGGACACGGCACTCGAGGTGCAGATGTACAGATCTGCATGTATGAAAACAAATGTCTACATACTGTCTTCCTATACAGCCAGCTTTCATGTGCTGACACACAACACAGGGTCTCCGAGCTCTTCCCTGCGCATTTATCGGTGACCCCCAGACGCACGCCCTGACCCCCCGCCCCGCGGAGCTGCTCGCACCGTGCACAGCACGGGCTATGAACACACGAGCCCTCCTTGCCGCCGAGGGCGACAGCAGGGGCAGGAGCGGGGGGCCGCTCACCCCTTCCCCGGGGCAGGACGCCCCTTCCCCCGCAGTGCCCCGACCCCCGCGGGCAGGGCGGGCTGTCACCGCGCCCCGCCCGGCTCCCGCTGCCCGCCCCGCACGCCCGGCAGGTGCCGCCCGGGCGGGGCGGGAGGCCCAGCCCCGGCACCCCCGGGGGCAGCGGGGGTCGCACCCTCAGGACGGAGCTCCCCGCCCGCCGCCCGGGCCGGGGCCTCGCCCGGGAGGGGCGGCGGTGGCGGCGGCGGGGGGGCCGGGCCGGCCCGATTTCTAGGGAGGAGGCTCGGGCTCCGGCCCCGCACGGCGCCCGCGGCGGGAGGGAGGGAAGGAGGAGGGCGGGCGGGCGGCGGGGGCGCAGCGCGGGTGTCCCGGCGGGGCGAGGAGGCGGCGGGAGCGGGGGCACCGGTCCTACTCACTCTCGTCAGGCAGCTGATCCAGCTCCGCCATCTTGAACGAGCCGCGCCGCTTTTTCAAAGGCTGCCTGGCGCGGGGCATTCTGGGGGAGGAGACGGGGCCGGGCGCGCGGCGGGCGCGCGCGCGGGGCGGGGCGGGCGGAGCCGCGCGCTCTGAGGGGAAGGGGCGGCGGGTCCCGCTCGTCCCGCGCCCCCGTCCCGGGGGGTGCTTGGCGGGCAGGAAAGGGGCACCGCGCTTGTCACAGGAACCGTGCGGTCCCCCCGCGGGCCGCCTGGAGCCTGGCGGGACCATCGTAGTTAAGGAGTTGGAATGGCCCTTAGAGATCACCTGACCCCAGCCCCTCCTGCCATGGGCAGGGACACCAGCCACTAGACCGGGTTGCTCAGAGGCCATCGAACCTGGCTTGAACCCTTCCAGGAATTAGGCATCCACAACCTCTCTGGGCAACGTGTGCCAGTGTGTCTCACCACCCTCACAGTAAAGAATTTCTTCCTCATATCTAACCTAAATTTCCCCTTTCAGTTTGGTACCCATTACTCCTTGTCCTGTCACTAGAGTTCCTGATGACGAGTCCCTCTCCAGCTTCCCTGCAGGCCCCCTTCAGATACTGGAAGGCTGCTACGAGGTCTTCACACAGCCTTCTCTTCTCCAGGCTGAACAACCCCAGCTTTCTCATGGCCTTCCTCTGGACTTGTGCCAACAATTCCATGTCCGTGTTATGATGAAAGATGAAGGGCAATAGGTGACTGGGAGTTCAGGGAGGGTGGGGAGCTAGGCTGTCACAAAGGGTCACCCCAAAGTAGCCATGTTAGCTACATGTCTTTAAGCAATCCCTGTGTTATATCCATCCTCCTTCATTAATAACTTTTTGCTAAACTCTGCCTCTTTTCCTTGTCTATGCTTTTCACAAGTGACTGCAAAGTTGAGGTTCTGGGAGAAGTAAGGGATAACAAACTCAGCACAGCCAGCCCTGGCCCTGCTGTCACAGTCTGTGTCACTCTTCCTCCTGGGAGGCAGCTGAAACGCTCACTGAGCCCAAGGCCTGAAGGTCAAGGTCTCACTTGTTCTCACCCAGTGCCAGGGAGAGCCAACAAACCCCTGACTGTGGGTGGCTGTTGCCCAACAAGCTCCTTGTCTTGGCCTGCCCTCTTATCTCACACCCCTGAAAGTTTCCTTTGAGCAGTACTGATTTTTTTTTTGTGCAGCCTCCTTAGATCTCTGCACCACAGCGAATTTTAAAGCTTATCCATCAAGAAATATAAACATGGAGATAACTATCATGAACCACAAGTGCTTTAAATGGACCAGATTCTCCATATGTGTTGGGCTTTGACAACACTACCTACTATTACTTATACCAACCAAATTTCCTTTTTTTTAAAATATATGAAAATGCAAATTGAGCTTCAAAATAAATCAACAGTACATCTTAGTGTCAAGGCTAAGCCTCTGTCACCTCTTAAACATATTGCCAACAGCACAATGGTGTAATGCAAAATGGACGCTATGCCTGTTCGCACCTCTTTAGAAGCACCTAAATGAAACCAAATATTCTACAAAACATAAAAAATATGTATCTTGGGACAAGGAGTAGAGTTTAATTTGTGTTTTTAATTTGCTAACGAACTCACTCTGGCAGGTTGAGAGGGGCAGGATATAGGTCATGTTACTAAACAATTTTAAGTACATAAATAAATAAAATCCATTGTGCTCAAGAGGGAAAAAGCGAGTTTCTAAGCGAAGAAACAAATTGAGTAAAATCCTTTAGAAATTCCCCCCAGGGCTTTCCATGTACGTTGTAGCAGAGTTAAAAAAAAAAAAAAGAGTAAAAAGAAAAGACAAAGCCTAGCTTGCATTTCAGCCCCTTTTTCAGGTCATTCTGAAAGGCTGTTAAAACAGCCTTCCCTCCCCTTAGCCCCCAAAGGGCTTAAGACATTTCAGTGAGAGCTTTACATACTGCACAGCTCAAAAGAAAGCTGCTACACCAGACAAATGCAAAGCAGCGTAAGCATAAAACTAATTAAACTAATAACAAAAAGCAACAAAAGTAATCTGTGCTACTTCAAACACAAAAAATTACAAAACATTAAACCCTGCACAATTTTCCCCTTTAATAAAACACCTCCACCACCCAAAAGGCCTGACATGGACCAGACCTTCCAGGCTCAGCTAAACAATAATGTGTTAACAACACTAATATTTTTCTGTATTTCAGCTATGCTTGCCTTGTTCCAAGAGTTGTATGTTAATGCTCAGCCAGGAGTGGCGACACTGTGTCTTCCACAGTTGACAGAAGACACTGATCACCAGCGAGGTTTTTACTGCTGTGCTTTGTAAACCTTGTCATCAGGTCTGGCTGGGCTGAAAGCAGCGTTGCCCAGTGCCACCCCGATGCTAGAGCTTTCACTGAGGCAAGGGATTTTCAGGGGAGGGATGAAAAGTTTTCTACAACACAATCGCATTTTGCAAAAAAGTCCTCAAGAGCCTGAATTTCTGAAAGGGAAAGGAAAAAGGAAACCAAAAAATCCAATGCCTTCAGGCATCTTTGTAGATGGTGATAAAACCAGAAAACAGATTAAAAAGCTAAGAGACATTTCACCTTGCCCCAAATACCTCCTGCTGATCATCTTAAAATTACCAGGTGAGATGGTAGAATTCAGCTTTCAACAGCATGATGCTGGGTATTCCTCCATTTCATTTCATTCCAACAGCTGCATTTGGAAAATATTTAACAGAAGCTATTGCCATTCACTGTGCTGAAAGGGCAACAATCAACACTGCATTATGACTCCTGTTATAAAGGACCTTTTACATCTTGGCCTTTTATAAATGCTGCGGTATCTCTATGTTCTGGTTTTTAATTTTTCATGTGCAGGCTATTTCTAAGTCACACAAACACGACCCTGTTTGACAAAGCCCTGGCCAGAGCCATTTGACAGTGTGCACACAAATACACCATGTTTTCAGTGCAGCCTTCCACCATTCTGGCAAATTTGTGGTTTGCACTCGGGTGACGTGGAAATGGCACAACTCTTCTGACAAACAGGCAGGGTGACCAAAAACACCTGAGCTCATTGCCAACAACCTGCCATTAGGTGCTGCTGACTCACCTGCTTAGCACAGCTGGAGGGAGATCTTTAAACTGGCTTCACTGATGCCATTTGCTTTCACCGAGGGTCATGTTGGGCAACTGCTCCTAATGGTGTGCGCCGAAATGCTGCAGAAAGCACTTCCACGCTCCCATTGACCCTTAATTGCTGCAGATGATATTAAGACACGGGTTACACCACCTACTAACCAATGCATTCAGAGTCTTGTCAGCACAGAGCAGGCAGTGCTGCATCCTGGGGACAGGAGACAGATGCTAGGGTGTCATTTTCTCATTTGCCCTAGGCAGGCCCTGGCAGTAGGAAGAAAAGCACAGACAGCTGGCAGAAGAGTGTGCTCTTCAGTCACTGAGGCACCTTCTTCTTGTGAAGTCTGAATCCTGCTGCATTAATCATGTTATGAAATTAGACTTTGTAATGAGGGGGTGGGGGAAGAGCAGTAGTTCCCCCATTCAGTCGTTGGGAAGCCATTCCTTCTTGCCTTCAGATTGTACCTGTGTATCTCACTTTCTGTGGAAGGAACCTGCAATGCCTACAGGTCTGCAAGGTACCTTCACACTGGAACAAATGAAACTCATCACAGCAACTCACCTTGGCTGGGACCTACATCTGCATTGCTTCTCATTGGTGCTGCTGCATCTCCAAAATGACCATTTCTGGAGAAGCAGCCTGGCGTTAATTTGAAAGCAAAACCACACACAAGCTCTTGTTCAGATGCATGTACTCCACAACACTGGAAACTATTTTTCTGTGGGCATAACAGAAGGAGTATGAGTATAATGTACTAAGTTAGGGGCCTCACCACATATATAAAAGCAAATTAAGCAAAACGCTGAGTGGGATTTAAATTGATTACAATAACACTTCAGTAGACAATGATGTCATTATGTCCCCAGAATTCATAGAGGGAGGTCTGTAAGTCTTCCAGAAAGAAAGCTGAAGCAGAGACCTCAGTAGTTACAAACACTGCATGCCTCATTTAAGAACATAAGTACAACTCTTTATGGTATTGAGAAAGTTTGATGTGTCCAGAGGTCTTTTTTGTATCAAAATTATTTGTTTGGGTTTTTTTCCCCCCACTTCTCTCTAATTAGAAACCAAAGGGGGGTGAGGGCAGAATGTCATTGTTTTACAGTTAAAATACTAGGTTGGGTGACTTAAGCTCTTTTTTTTGACTCAGCCACTTCTTTCCTGCATGAGCTCAGGCAAGTCACAAAGAATTTACACTGACTGCCAATCAGTAAGCCTAGGTTGGCTTCCTTCAATTAACTGCATTCATATAAACTGCATGGACTATCTAAATGTTTGTGAGCCACTGTACAACAGATCCTCCAGCCATGCTGAATAATGATAAAAAGGTTAAATATTTATAGATTGCTGCTTTTGGTAGTTTAATATTTAGATCAGAAGCCATTCCTTAACATGCCTTCCCTGAAAAAAGAAGAGGATGTCATGGGACCTCATGTCTTGACAACTCCTTCCTTTCAAGTGCTTTTGACAGAAATGGGACTACCTATTCATCCAGCTCCACTCAGTGCATGTACTCCAAAAGCAACGCCTTCAGTGGTTGTCATTATGCTGCTCTTCTCAGCCTGGCCCTGGGGACAGGCTCCCTATATGCTGGTTCCAGCAGCACCAGTGCCTTTCAGGAGAGCAGATCCTACTCTGTGGTTGGACAAACTGGCAGGAGAAGCAGTGCCTGAATTCACATTAGATTTCACTGCAGGACAGCCACACCAGGGCTCTCCTACATACCCCAAAGGGCACCTGCTGCCTCTTCAGAAAGTCCTGTCCCTCTGTATCTTCCCCTGCCATATCTGCGAGGTTAGAGGCAGCTTGGGATGTACTTGCTTGTGCTGCATAACTGAGCACTACATACACAGTGTAAAGCACTCCTCATGATGCTTGGGTTGGATCAAAAGGCAACTTTGAGCCACCTCCAGTACAGGTA